AAAATAATACCGGCTAATGTTTGACTCTTTCTACGTCAGGAATTTTAATATCTAATTAAAATGGTAAATTATATGACTGTTGATTAAGTCACGTGTCTTATATGTAAGAGAATCACGACAGATTATTGTTGGTATTAATGAAGACACTAACACTAAGAGGTATATACATACGTTATGAAACAGCAGCCAACGACTAACACGAAAAGTTTAAATAGCACAATCTAAGTGTTTATGCATTACTTGATACAGAGTCTATTATAAGTAATGAATAAGTTTACACTTTTACAAAAAATTATGCCATCTTAATCTACAATACATTCAATTTGATGATTTACGGATACAACTTTGAGTGAAATAAAATTGAATTAAAAGATAACATGTATAACGTTATATTATTTTCTCTCTACGCTATAATTTACTGTGAACGTTTCTTTGTTAGATATTAAATACAGACTAGTAGTTATATGTAGTAGTGAAAACGAATACAAATCCAGGATAGTTGCTGCTTTAGATAAATATCATAGGCTGGCATTGTATACAGATGTTTGTTTTATAAGAACATACCTTTTTACCAAGTTTCAAGTAGAGTCAGAAAGTAAAAGAACACCTGCATGTGCTGTTGATTTCGATAGGTATGATGCTACATGTTGTGTCGTATTATCATTTTGTAATATTATTGGGGTGTAAAAGTATTGTTCGAAGCACATTTTGTAGAAATAAAAATGTTTGGAAGGTTTATTTTTGAATGACACCAATTGTTGTTAGCCAATCAAACTAAAGTAATCTCGTTGAACATGCATGTAATTTATTATTTGGTGTTGAATACAAGGTATTTTGTGTTGGTTGAATAGATATGAAATTTTCACCTATTTGATAGACTATTTCAATATGAGAGTTGTTTTTTAAAGTACATTGGAATTTTCCTGAACCAACATAATCAGACAATGTTTTTCTGCAATGAACTTGGTGCACAGTCGTTCAAAATCTTACGGCAGGTTTTAGAGATCTAGTCTGATATCTTTAGATTTACTTTTAGTACATACTTTGTCCCATTCACTATTGTGACATTTTGAAAAAAGGTTGAATACGATGTCGAGCGATGAACGCACATTAGCACCTGTTCCTACTCCTTTCAAGTTCAAGATTTGAACATTGGAAAACATCTGTTGCATCTAGCTAAAAGACGAATTAGATCGATCTGAAAAAATTAATATAAATGACATAGGGATCATGTAAAAAATTTAGCACAACGAAATGCGGTATATGGATTATTTTTGCGTCATACAGTACAAGCCTGTATCTTTCATTCTAAAAACCGAGACTCAAGTCATTGAATGCAATACAAAAATTACTTCGACAATACTATCTCCCTGTTACGCCACTTTATTCTTTTAATCGTGACAAGGGTAGCCATTGTAAGGCTAATCATTACGACCCTTATATGACAGTTATATTTTAAAGACATGTATCTAATAGCTATTGGGCATACTTCAGTATTGATTTTGTTATCAATTAAAAGCAAACTAAATATAATTGTTATATACATGTTCACTTTCATGGATCTGCAATCTGTCGATACCTGTCTCTTGGCATTGTACAAGGTCATGTTTTTCTCTGACTGTTTATGACGTCTTTACACTAAAAACATTAGATGTTAAATGTGTACTGTTTGATACTTTTGTCTTAGATGCATGTTTTTTTTAGGTTGTTATTGGCTTTGAACTAGCTGTCATTACCTGCGAGTACTCTCAGATCTGTGATTAGTGTTTTTTTGTTGGGTTATACAAGTACCAGGCCACGTCAACTCTGTGTTTTCTTAGATGTAGTTCTATTTGAATCCATCTGATTAGTTAAACCTTTTTCAACTGATTTTTATAGTTCGTTCTTATGTTGTACTGTTATTTTTTACATTTGACATTTCGAGGCCTTTTATAGCTGACAAGCGGTATGGGCTTTGCTCATTGATGACCGTACGGAGACATATATTTTTTATATAACTGTGTCATTTGGTCTCTTGTGCAGAGTTGTCTTATTGACAATACAACCACATCTTCTTTTTATATTTATTGTACTTCTATGCTTTTTTTCAGGACAAATTTTCAAGTTAAACAAAAAAAAAAACACTTAAAAAATCTTAATTAATATATCATGGAAGGACAGATAAAAATGTTCTGGAATGTAAGAATAATTTCCCTATTTAGGCACAAAATATCTGCAAATAAAGTCCATCGTCTAAATCTTAACAACAAGCTTAAATTTATAAAGATCTACCATAATCAACAAGATTATTAGGTATCTATAGTTTCAAAAGTGTTTAATGATGCTGTGTAGTTTGCTTTTCCAACTGAAATAAGCTCAACTAAAGGTTACCGCTTTTGCAAATGTTAGTTTAAGAGGGTGATATAATTTCAATTCTTTTATTAATTTAATCAAATAATGCTCATTAGTACAATATATGTTCATCAATGATTTGATAGATTTGCGTTTTTCTGTTACCCTTTAAAAAATTCATTATATAACATATTACTAAATAACATAATTAATTTGGATATATTATCTTCTAATTATACAGATGCAGTGTCCGCGTTGTGAAATCATGGAGAGCAGGAATAGGTAAAACGCTATTTAAAAATCGAATGATTGAAGGTTTGTCACAGATGGTCGGTGGTGAGATTAAAAGCACAAGCATTCCTGTACATCACAAGATCTTGAACAGTGATGAAATCATGGAGATTTTCAAAAAGGAAATTTTAACTGAAAAGAAGCAAAGTCAGAGAATATTTCATATAGATATTTCTCATGAGGTTATTAAATATATTTACTTTATTCCTTATTTAGTGTTAACTGAGAATAACTTTTTGGTTACATACAAAAATGAAAATGTGGTATGATTGCCAATTAGACAACTGCATATATTTGAAAAAAGAACGCAAGTAAAAATGTGTGTTCTACATTCTTCATTTATTTGTCTGTGCTATGTGTGGACTAAGGTTGGTCTTAGGATTGTTTTTCCTTGCAAAAACATTTTCTATTCTATGAATTATTGATTTTGTTTTGCTACTAAAATATATTCGTTCTCTTTCATTAAGACATGTTCTCATCAATTGACATAAGGATTAAAATGTGTACGCCAATGCGTGTTTCGTCTATAAAAAAGACTCATCAGTAACTCTCGAATCACAAAAATCAAAAAAGGCCAAGTAACGAAGATGCAGAGCATTAAGGACCAATAGATATAACTAAGATATTTGTTTTATACCCAGGAATTTTCCAAAGAGAAAAATCTGCGTTTGAAACTAGGATATGCCACAACAAGTATACACATAGAGCATTCATATACTTCCATTCTCTTTTAATTTTATATGGTTATTATTTAGGTGCAAGAAGGCGTTGACACTTTCCTTTTCCAGTTATTGGTATTGGGATGTCATCGTCACAGTTCCGGATATCTTTGGAGAAGATCTGACATGGACTATTATATAATTGAATCTATGCCACTCCTAGATATGGACCATTCTGGACAAAGAAAGGTTGTTTATTGCACGATTTGGTAGAACTTTCCATTGACAATTTATGTAAATCAGATAAAAATTCCCATTGGATAATTGTGTATTGATGTATAGCTGAATTTAAAAAAAAAGTAAACTTATATCAAACCTCTTTGATATATAAAGCAGATGAACACTAATTATAAGCATGTGCCTGTGTTCCTTCATTAATCCTTTAATCATTGGTTAACAAATTGTGTGAAATTGCTAAGCTCTTTAAACCGAACTCGCACCTTGAATGGAATTTTCAGAAACTTTTAATTCTATACATTTGGGTAGTAAATCTTTGATTTCAAACACAATACATTTACTAACCTGCATATATCTATGAGGAAACTATGAGACGTAAAATTCTAAAGGGGCGTTTTAAATGCATAAGTCGAAGCAAAAATGCCAACACCATTGCAAAAATACGAAAGAGACAAAACGGTAATCACAAATTTCGAAAACACTTTAACGAAAATTAAGACTCAGCAACAAAAACCTGAGAACAACGGGAGCCAATTGTGTTGCTCATGGAATTTATAAATTTTGTAATCATTCACAATTGATCATTTAGTAAAGAAGACGGGATTGTAGTAAAATCAATTCCATGAAGTCTATACCATGATTTTCAGTACTTCTTTCAGGGAGGACAACTGAAATATATCCATAGCTGCTTAGATATTTTGCCATCTGTGACATGTAGGTCACCGAGAGAATGTTTGGATATGATATCAAACCCTCAAAACAAGGAAGATGATTTTACTGAACATGATATACTGTTTGATTCAGAAATATTTAGTAGTGAAACAATTCAGAGACCCTATAGATATCTCAGGAAATTGATGACCAGTTCAAAGCCTATCAATGAAGCCTCATTGACACGCTTTGGTCTACGTTCATCTAGATATCAAAGAAGATTAGAGACAAATATCGAACCAGAAAACTCTACCTTATCCAGTGCCCCTGTAAAAACAGCTTTAAACCATGCAGATGACAATACGAACTGTTTAGAAATATTACTAAGGTAGTTGATTTGTTTTTGAAGTAATGTAAAGCTCCTGTCTGATTTTATCGAAAACTCGCAGAATTAATTGGACAATTACTTCAGTTAAACAAGCCATTAGTGTGTATATATTCATATTAAACATCAAATAACAATGTACAACTTTCAATAAAACATTAAGCATAGTACTTACTGTCATGTTTTTGCGTATAGATTTATTTTACTCGTGTATGTTTTGAATTTGATCAAAGTCTACGTATAATCAATTAAGGAATTAACAATATACAAAGTACCCTAATTACTCTTCAGTGATTGGTATAAAGACAAATAATTGTTTACCAAAAACCACAGGTTTATCATAACCACTGATAATTCTGCATTTGAGTATTCAGATAATATTATTCATGATGATTTATAGTTTATTTATCCATAATATGAATATAATTATGAAACTGTTTCTTCAGTCATTGTGGTATTAAAGATCCGTCATGGTCAGAAATTTACCATTTTGTGAGCTTTCTCAACAGACAGTTGGAAGATTTTGAGGCTTCAGCTTTTTGTGGTAAAGCAGCACAGGAAGATTTACCAGGGTTTTCTGATTTTGTTCTTACCTGTCTTTTGCAAATGTCTAGGGTATGTTATCACGATGTTAATTATTTCCTCAAATTAGATAGTGATGACATACATGTATATCTGGATATTCTTAAAAAAATTGAAACTGGAAACTGGGAATGTGTCAAAGAGAAACGACCCGACCAAAAAAACAAACAACAACACAATACCACCTAAAGGTCTTCAACACAGTTATAAAATCTCGCACCCAGAGACGGGCATCAGATGGCCCCTTAACACAACCTTTTTTTTTAGTTCAGCGAAAGTGGGCCGCACACTAAACTAGTTTTGGTAGAACCTAAGTGGTTGTCAATTTCGATTAGGCGCAAAGATACAAAAAGCACAGTCAATCACATGTTCCATACGTTGTATTTGTTTGACATATAGTTGTTACCTAACAAGTAAATACAAGATTTAAAAAGAAAAACTTAGGAGGAAGGAATTCTGCAACTGTTACAAAAAAAAAGGAATGTATCTGTCGTCATCATTGACACTGATATTTGATAATTGTATATCAAATGATGATGTAAAACTAACGATAGGAAGTTATTAGATTTACCTTTGCCATCATTGTTCCGAAAACTTTCATTTAATTAGTCTTTTTGGTGACATTGCTTGATAAGTTACCTATTTTTTGTTCAATTACATAATAAATAATATGAACATTAACATTCACAATCATAATATTAACGGAGCTTGACGATTTTTGTTGTTGTTCCAGAAAAACATGGATAAATTACTAAGGACATCAGACTTTCCCGTTTGCAGTGTTGTTATACTGATACTTATGTGTCATATAGGTTAATCAGGAATTAATTTTACGATGCAAATAATTGTTATTGTTTATTGTACTGAAAAATACAATATCTTTACTAGAAAGAGGGGCTAAAGATATAAGAGGGATAGTCAAACTCATAGATCGAAAATAAACTGACAACGCCATGGCTAAAAAATATAAAGACAAACAGACAAATAATAGTACACAAGACACAACATAGAAAACTAAAGATTAAGCAACACGAACTCCACCAAAAGCTGGGGGTGATATCAGGTGCTCCGGAAGGGTAAGCAGATCCTGCTCCACATGTGACATCCGTCGTGTTGCTCATGTTTTTACAAACCCGGTAAATAGTCTAATTCGGTTGGACACATTCGTGGTGAAAAGGGAAATGGATTTTGTAGTTACGACATGAGGAACATATCTGTGAATCGGTTATTCCATAACGGTCAACAAACTCGTGATGGCGTCCGTAAAATTTACGAAGGGAAGATTTCAACTTCACCATTTGGTGAAAGCTGTCCGCTTAAGAAAGAATGCCTGACATTGTCTTAGATATTTAAATTATTTCACAGGATTTTGCAACCAGATCTCTAGTAGTCAGTGAAGAGACTCCAATGCAGATGATGCAGCGACATAAAAAGAATGAAAATGGTATTGACATCATACAACAGTATCAAATGAGACGCACATGGGAGACAAGGTTATTTTGATTTATAATTTTATAACAAAAAAAAAAGAAAATGTAATGATGTGGCAAATTCAAACACATATGACGAAGGCCACACCAAAGAAATCAAACAATCCCTTAATACAAAAAGAATAAAATTAACATATAGCAACATAAATTATTAAACAAGGGCGAACAATTAGATGCACCGGGTAGAATTTGGTTTTTCTATAACATTGATATTTTCGGAAGTAATGTTTCATATTTGCCGTTAATAACACGAACGGTACCAATTGTACTGCACGATATGCGCTTTTCGACAATAAATGTCTCTTCTTCGATGCTCGGGGTCAAAATACAAGCAGAATCCAAAATATACTAACTATGTTGAAGAAGTGATAACAGCTAAAATATAGATAAATCCGGACATAAATTCAGAGCTGTGCAATAGGGAGTATTGTTTAACGGAAAATTATTTAAAAACTTTAATAACACCAAATTTCAATCAAATGATATCGTTTTATTTTTCGTACGAGCTGATGATACCCTTTGGGACTAACAGTTCAAAGCAGAATTAACTGATTTTTTTTAAGCAAAACTTACCTTGTATGTACAAGATCTTGATATATGCGTCCATCCCTTACGCTGTTTTATGTTTTTTTGTGTTGGTGTATTGAAGGATTACAGTTTTATTGGTATTTTATCGTTTTGATTATGGTTACAAGTAAGAGTATTTGTCCGATGCTTTATTTGTGTTATGATCTTAACATTTACATTCTAATTATAATTAGGCTTCCGTACTGACATTGAGTTTTTTTTAACGTTTAGTTATAAGTTTTCCTTTTTTTTTACAGTGGAAATTTTAAAGTTCCCACACGATTCAACTGTTGTAATCAAACCTACATATATTTATCCATTATTCAAACAATATAGTATCTGTTTAATTTGTCCTATATGTTCTCCCATTTATTTGTATTGTTGTCCTGTCATTTGATGTTGTCGTTTTGGTGTTGTGTTTGACGTTGCCATAAAAGCGGGAGGTTTGGCATGCCACAAAACCAGGTTCAACCCACCATTTTTTTCTTAAAATGTCCTGTACCAAGTCAGGAAAATGGCCATTGTTATATTATGGCTCGTTTCTGTGTGTGTTACATTTTAATGTTGTGTTTTTGTTGTGTCGTTGTTCTCCTCTTATATTTGATGCGTTTCCCTCAGTTTTAGTTTGTAACCCGGATTAGTTTTTATCTCTATCGATTTATGAGTTTCGAACAGCGGTATACTACTGTTGCCTTTATTAAAATGCTTTTAAAAAACAATAAATTCTTTGAAAAAGACCCTATAGATAAAGTATTATTATCAATTCTTAGTAATTTTTCAAATGTGTTTCAGTTATGTCTGACTTTCATTGATGCACTATTTTAATTATTGATATGGAACTAAAAGAAGATTATTGAATTAGATATTAGTTTTATGTTTCAGTCCTCATCCATACCTGTTTTTCAATCCGGATCATCACAGTATGACATTTTTAGGATTTAACATCGAACGACGATCTGGAAACTTGGTAGATCATCAAACCAGGAAAGTCTTAGAGCAACAGATCATGACTCCAGATTTGTTTGATGCACTTGAAAAAAATGATGTCAATTTAGCTGAGAACTTTGATATTTTACAAAGGTAATATAAAAGTAAAAAAAATTGTATATATTTATATCAGTACGTTGTAGATATCACAGAAACTTCTAATCAATGAAAGATACTGATATCGACTATAAAAAAGTTACAAATTACTTAAACGTCTGTGGTTTCTTTAAACCCTGTAAAATAAAATTTTATGGTAATGCAAGTCAATTTCATTATCGTCAGGCTCATTTGAAAATATTCTAGCCAATCTGATGAATTCAGAAATGTACATGACATAAGAAGTTGTTCAGAGTATGATGTGGCAAAGTTGAATTCGTCTCCAAATGGTGAAGTTGAAGTTATCCCTTCGTAAATTTTACGGACACCATCACGAGTTGGTTGACCGTTATGGAATAACCGTTTCACAGATGATATCGGATATGTTCCTTATGTTGTAACTACAATACCCTCCCTTTTCACGAATGTGAGATCACCCCCAGCTTTTGGTGGGGTTCGTGTTGCTTAGTCTTTGGTTTTCTATGTTGTGTCATCTGTACTATTATTTGTCTGTTTGTCTTTTTATTTTTGGCCATGCCGTTGTCAGTTTGTTTTCGATCTATGAGTTTGACTGTCCCTCTGGTATCTTTCGTCCTTCTTTTGTGGTTTATCTAGTTTTATTGTCTTAAAATGACAATATTTGTTGTGTTGTAAGGTAAATTAGGATTTGTTTTATTGTATAGTTAATAATGCTAACGGGAAAAATCTGACACAACGTCACTTGATTCAGATAAGACTTACATTTTGTATATTTTTTTCTTGATTCGCAATGCACTTAATCTTAAATCTTACATTAGTTTACAAGTAAAATAAATAATTGAACTTTTATCAGGCCACAAAAAATTGCAAAACTTTGTCAAGTTATGGGACTAGAGACAGTGTATGACCCAGATGAAACATACGAGTTGACTACGGACAACGTGAAAAAGATCCTTGCAATATACATGAGGTTTAGGTAAGTTTGTTGTGTTGTACACCTATGAAACACTATTATATTTGGATATTCATATTTGTTTTGGCCTTGATCATCACTGATGAGAAAGTTATTGCTGGAAGTCGCATCTGATGCATAAAAATTGGTTCCGTTTGCGTTATTATTACCAGTGGCTCTGCTGGTCCAATTTTAGTCCTCGCGGGTCACACCATCCAAGGGCCTACTATTTGAGTACTGACATGAAACTACGGATATTGTTTGATTCAAATTTGGTATAATAAAGTTCTGGAAACTAAAATTAAGGAATATATTTGTCTCTACCTGTAAAAAAAAAGTCTCCTGTTACCGCGCTTCCATGTGGAGCATGCGGTAATGTGGATATTTCTTTTTAGGTAACAGTTCAATTTGGGGCCCTTTTTGCGGTCCGCGTTCAAACTATGTCGATTTCTTTGAACAATTTAGATTTTAAAACAACTAAGAGTTTCAAGTGTTGGGTGTAAATTTCAAGATATAAACAATATATGTAAATTGTCGGAAAATATAATTTTTTTGTACTCGCTACGAAACAGGAGAAAAGCTCGGCGAGCCTCGCTTTTCGTCCTGTTGCTAAAGCTCATTCAAATAAATTTTATATTTTCCGACAATTTACATATATTGTATATAGGTTCTGCCAGTTAGGTCGATAGGACGAAAAGGGGATTCTGCAATAGATCTTCTACGTGCAGAGATTGGTGCAATATCCACAAACGAGGCTTCAGACTTAACGTTTTATTTCCAACCAAACTTGGCTGCATAATAATACATTCCTCTTAGCGGAACCGACGTTAACCATGGGGTCCGAGAAAATTAGCAGGAATTTAAGTGTGTTGTTTTCGCGTAGACCTTCACATGGAAATTATTTATGAATGCTTTTCGATTTTATTATTTTTGATTAGAAAGTAAAGCAGGAAACGCTTACCTTGTGGATGCTCCCGGTCCCTTCCTTTCGAATGTATACGATTCCTTAAATTTTTGTGTGTTTTTTTTCTTTTCCTATTAATGAAATTTGAACATAGATAAACTATGTCGCCTTCATTTAGCACCGTGATTAGTTTTTATCGATTAATCACCAGGAGCTAACGGAATGAGGCACTTGTAAATGTAGTAAGTTTTAAGCTGTTAAAATTTTATATTTTGGTGTTGTTATCAAAACATGTCTGCTCAATATCTTTCTTAATTTAGCTTATTATACATAATTTAAAAACAATTCTAAAATCTCAAAAAGCTATGAATCTCCGAGGACCGATGTATCAATGGGAAAACATATCCTCTACTGTATGATGTTTGTTTGCTTTTTGAAAATATAGATGCGGCATACCAGTAATAATCATGGGAGAAACCGGATGTGGAAAAACTCGACTTGTAAAATTTATGTGCTCCTTGCAACAACCTCCCGGTGTTGATGTAGAAAATATGATCCTTATGAAGGTAAGAGTAATACCCTAATAAATAGCAAATCAGTCATAGTGCATCAATACGGCAGGTTCTTTATAACGAGGTAAACACGATTAAGTAGGAGACAACCTGTTCACCGATTTAAAACATTTCTTGTATTTGAAATGAAAGAGATCGCATAAATGTTGCTTCAATTTTTTGGGGGAATATAGACTCACCGATAATGATAAAAATGTGTTTACTTTTTCTAAATTACGACTAAATCGATTGTATTAAATAAAAGTTTTTGCCATGAAGTATCGAAGATCCTACGTTGTAAACACTGTCTTGTTCTGATTAGACATGTGATGACTCAGTTGTATCGACTTGGTTTGTACATCAAAATTAAGCAGGAATACTGTTGGTTCATGAATTTTCTTTTTTCAGTCGGCAGGTTCGATTTAATAATCCCTTTCAATTTTTGAATTTGTTAGTTAAAAGACTTTATGTGTTCATAGTGACCAACTAGTTATGTATATTTAGTTATCGTAACATGTTCTTTAACAATACGGTCAATACGGTACAAGTTTGATACAGAAAAAAATGTGTCTCAATGACATCTTCAAACAAAGAAATGAAATTGTTAAAAACATGCACAAGTTGGTAATATTTGCTTTACTGTAAAGTGCTTTTCAATTTTGAAAAATTGTAAAAACATGACGGGCGCTGATTTAAACATCGGTAAACAATGTCCTAAGTCAGGAGACTGTTATCACTGGTTGGCGTTTATTTATGTGGTCCAAGTGTTGTTGGATTCCCGTTTTGAATATATATGAGACCGTACTTTGACCTATAATTGATTGCTTTTAACACATTGTGTCTTGGATCGAGAGTTGTCTTATTGGCACTTATATCACATCAATCTATTTCTATATTCTGTTGCCTCAAATTTCCATATGAAAATTAGTATGTGTCAAAAGTAATAAAACCATTCAACACTTGAAATGTTTAAGTTTACAAAGAAATATTAACTTTTTAATTATGGATTTTGGGGTAATGATGTCTTTTTTATCTATCAAAGTCCAATTTCTTCATTTTCTGTCAAACTTCACCAAAATGATATATATATATATATATATACAAGTCTAAATTGAAAACAACGTTCAAACCTATGATTGCGTTGGATAAAAATCGCAATTTTTATACGTGTGCATGCAAAACAAATTTCTTGTTAGAGGGGTCTAAATACAGCACAAACAACATTTTCCAAAAGACCAAAAAAGTGAAAAAGTATATTTTAACAAAACGCATTTGACTAACAGGTCGAACAACAAATGTTCTTAAACCCTGCTGACTGCCATTGGCGATTGCCAAATAAACGGATCACCGATGTAATAAATGGATCTTGAATATAAATTTAATACTAAACAGAAAACAATAAACTTGCGGAAAAGATGTTATACCGCAAACAAAAGGTGCAAAGGTTTTTGTACACCATATCCGGATTTCGACACTTAATGTCTCTTCAGTGATGTTAGGAATCGAAACGGTATTTGGAAAGCCATACAATTTACCTCAATTTAGGATAGACTCCTGAATTTTGAGGAGTCAAAATAGGATGAACGGATCATATAAACCCGAAGGCAAATATAATACAAGCCCAAACGAAAAAATATAAACAAGTCTAAATTGAAAACAACGTTCAAACCTATGATTGCGTTGGATAAAAAGCGCAATTTTTATACGTGTGCATGCAAAACAAATTTCTTGTTAGAGGGGTCTAAATACAGCACAAACAACATATATATATATATATATATATTACCAACTATAGCACAAGAAATTGTGTTTTAAAGTAATGAAGTAAAAATGTAATATTTTATCTCATTTATGTTGTAGGTTCACGGCGGTACAAAATCATCGGACATTATAAGAAAAGTTCGAGATGCTGAAGACATTGCAAGCAGAAATACAGACATGTATCCAAATATGTTTACTGTATTATTTTTTGATGAGGCAAACACAACGGAAGCTATTGGTGTGATTAAAGAAATGATGTGTGATAAGTCTTTGGATGGAAAACCAATGAAATTAAATCAAAGTTTGAAAATAGTTGCAGCTTGTAACCCATACAGAAAGTAATACGTCCTTTATACTTATACCATACAAAATTACAAATTACCTTTGAATTAATCTTTAAAATCTATTGATCATTTTGAATTCGATATCTTCTTCAACACCAGCTTCTTCCATTTCATTCCTCCCTGTGTAACCACGTAACAGATAAACAACGCCTGTGTAGTGTTTGTTTTTTAAGAAATTATTGAATATTGTAAACCTTGAATAAATAAAATATTATGGAAAATGTTTAATTTGGAACAACGGGTGTTGCATGCTTAAAATGAAGTGCTCATTTTGATGAAAATTCTAAAGGCATTTATTTAAATCTTAGTTAGTATGTGTATAATAGACAAATTCTACTGATTAAAAGTATTGCAATTCAAAGATCGTCAAAGTTGAAGTGTGATGCAGTCCCGTGTTTTTACAAAAAGATTTCATTTTCGTTCTTTTCCATCACATTAGTGAATGAAATGAAATAACGCTGAACAAAGACTTAATATCAAATAGTTAATGAATGAATTTCGTTGTATAAATGAAAAACGTATGATGTATTTTTAAAAGTCCTTAATATTTAAGGCATATTTTGAGGCAATGTTAATTGTCCATAATATACATTATATGTTTAACCAACAATAAAACCAGGTTAAACCAATCATGAAAATATTGTTATCTCACTTTTAAACCACTAGAATACATATAAATAAAAATATTTATTCAGTTGTGATATCTGATATATTTCAGACATTCTGACGAGTTAATTCAGAGATTAGAACAGGCAGGACTTGGATATCATGTTGCTTCTGACAAAACTACTGATACAATTGGTAAAGTATATGTTAGAAATGCAAATCTATATATTACTTATTTCAAAAAAAATGTGCTATTTCATAACATTATTATCTTTGATTCGATTTGAACCATTGAGTATTATGTAGAATTATTGTGCGTCTAGCGTACCACATTTTGAATCTTTGATTTTTTTCTTAAAAAAAATTATTTTACTTTTCTATTAAACTGACATTAGATATTTCCATATATCAATCATATAAACATATGTGACAAATAAAAAAGAATATACACACATATCAAAGTTATTTTCAGATGCAAATTTAATTTGATAATAGTAAATTATATAGAAACGAAATTAATTAAGGCATTATCTTAAATGCGAAAAGAAAATTGTCAATTCAATTTGAGGGTTTATAACCAAGAGTATATTGAGATGAAATGTTTATTCAAATATTTAGATAAAGAAATATTCATCCATTTATAGAAATATCTCGCTGAAAAGATTTCTCTCATGACATTTTGCTATGTCTTCACGTTTAGCCAGAACATGACTTAATTGATTTAATGTTTGTTTTGGTTTATATAACTTTTGGCGTGACTCGGTATTTAAGTATACTGCCATGGACTTTTTTACTGTTTAACGTTCGTCTTTCCTAGAGCAGGGGGGTCCTGAGGTGCGATTCAGACCCAAGGGTTTTTAAATGTTTTTTTTCAAAATTGTTTACCCTTGTATTTATATATACGTAAACTTTTCTTAACCGAAACAGTGTATACTATATATGGTAAATGCGGTTTTTATCCAACGCAATCATAGATTTGAACGTTGTCAATTTAGACTTATATTTTTTCGTTTGGGCTAGTATTATATTTTCCTTCGGGTTTATGATCCGTTCATCATATTTCGACTCTTTAAAATTCAAGAGTCTATCCTAAATTGAGGTAAATTATATGGCCTTCCAAATACCGTTTCGATCCCCAACATCACTTAAGAGACATTAGTTGTCGAAATCCGGATATGGTGTACAAACTTTTGCACCTCATGTTTGCGGTTTACAATCTTCTCCGCAAGTTTATTGTTTTCTGTTTGGTATGAAATTAATAATTTAGATCCATGTTACATCTCGTGATCAATTTATTTGGCAATCGTCAATGGCAGTCAGCAGGGTTTAAGAACATCAGTTGTTCGACCTGTTAGTCTAATGCATTTTGTTAAAATATACTTTTTCACTTTTTTGGTCTTTTGGAAAATGTTGTTTGTGCTGTATTTAGACCCCTCTACCAAGAAATTTGTTTTACATGCACACGCATAAAAATTGCGGTTTTTATCCAACGCAATCATAGGTTTGAACGTTGTTTTCAATTTAGACTTGTCTATATATGGTATGTACATTCAACGACAAAAAACTTATTTTTGACATCATCGTCAAACTTAAGACACATGAAATGTTGACTGCTGTACCCCTATTTTGTCAATATATTATTAAATGGAATTTAACGCGACTGTTATACAATTGAGAAGTTTAGCTAGCTTTTAAACTAGATTTAATCCACCACTTCTACATAAGAAAATGCCTGTACCGAGTCAGGAATATGACAGTTGTTATCCATTCGTTTGATGTGTTTGAGCTTTTGATTTTGCCATTTGATTATGGAATTTCCTTTTTGAATTTCAGTATTTTTCTTTTGATGACTTTAAAAAAAAAAAGCGTTATACTACTGGTGCATTTATTTATCTGATGGATCAATCCCTCTCATGTCTTAAGTGCACGATGCAAGCCAGGAGCCTTTAATTTATGGATTTTAGTTTGTTGCTCTCTATAATATTATTTCTAGTTAACACTTGTAGCATACATAAGACCATTTTTTTTTTATAGAATCATGGTATTTTATAAGTTATGGTCGTACGGTTACCAATATTATTGTCCGTTGGTGTCTTGTGGATAATTGTTATACTTCCTATTATTATTTCATATTAGTACTCAAAACAAGCGCAACTACACTAAGATTAATAAAGCTGTAAACAAACTAATTTTTACGAGAGATTTTTTCTCGATTATTAAAATTAATAAAAAGGTGAATATAATCTTATCGAATATTTCAAACTTGGATCTTCTCTTGCAATAAAGTCAGAAAATCGAAAAGAAAAACAGCAGTTATATAAATCACTTTATAGCTAACCACGATAGACTTATATATCTTAAAGAAGTTTTTATGGAACGATGCGATGACAATTAGGATTATAAGTTCATAAGAATTAGTAATTAAGAAGGGAACCGATTTAAAACGGAAATGTTTGCGTATGACTAATAATAATTCAAGTAAATTTAGAAAAGGGACGACGAGCAGTCATTCTTTTTCTTTTTTATTCAATATATGTTTTGCCTTTTGCTATATTTAAAAAATTTAAAAAAATCGATAAGATATCAAAAGAAAATAGAAATAGAAAACATTTTTTTTTTATAATTTACACAAGTTATTCGGTAGTTAAACTACTCACATTTTGTGTAAGTCATACATACTTGTTTTTATTTGAGACATCATTATAGTTGTCTTAACTGAAAAAGTAACGATTATGTCCAATTCAAGCCATGCAATTCCTGCTGATTCTAGATTTAAATGACTTACTTTATAAGCATTGAATACTGTTTTAGATTTTATCTTTCAGCTTTATTAATTTTTGAAATCAAAATAGAAAACATACCTCTGCAGAACCAAAAATGTTTCAGGGGGCCTGTTGGTTATTACCTTTTATTTGCAGTTACCATTTTCCAATTTAATTCACAATTATTCTGTTCCAAAAATATAAATATATAGCATTGAAATCTTTGCAGGTCGTGTTCCAATGAGAAGACTTGTTTATCGAGTTCAGCCACTCCCACAAAGCATGCTCCCATTGGTCTGGGATTTCGGTCAATTAACAGCTGATGTTGAGAAAATGTATATACGCCAGATGGTACTGAGATATGTAGGTGTTGAAATTTGTTTTTGTATATCTTAGAGGCAATAACCTTTCACAATGGATGCATTGTAAAAAATAGAGACAACAATATCGTTTTTCTTACCAATTAAGTCTGTTTGGTTTGTCTTTTTATTTTTGGCCATGGCGTTGTCAGTTTTTTTTTCGATCTATGAGTTTGACTGTCCCTCTGGTATCTTTCGTCTCTCTTTTAAAGCCATGTCCTTCCTTCTTTATGGTTTTTGTTGTTAATATTGAATATTTCGGTAAAACTCTTATAGGAATTGCATATGAAGGAATACGTTTATATGATTGGTTGAGAGGACTTCGTGCAAAGGCTCTTTACGTTGTCTATTTTTCGATAGACGACGTTCACCGAACTACTTTTTGTAACCAATGTAAACAAGATGGCGGCGACTTTAAAAATATTTATTTTCACTTTGCGTGCATCATTTAATTTAATAATAATAACAAAATCATTCATTTGAATGATAATAAGATAGTTTTGCAGTTTTATTTTTTATTAGATAGGAAATTTCATGGAGTTCTTTTTTGGCGTTTACCAAAAAGTACATTCATGCGCCGGGCCAATTCAATGACATAAATATACAATTTACATGTGATAGAGCTAAGAATGTGGAAATTTAATTTCTTATCTCCAATTTTAAACAACTATAAGGATTAAACGCTTTTTTAAAGGAATTTATTGGTGTGCAAACTGGACCAAGTCACTCACAAACATATCACAAAAGTCCTTTGGACTTTTATTTGATTGTGAGTGAATTGGTTGAGTTAATACACCAATAAATGCCTTTAAAAAGGCATTTAATCCTATAAAATCTTTGAACATTTAACAGATTCGTCGTGATTCAATCTTATGTCACACGATGATCACACATGAACCTCCTTTTTTAATATAACCCCTATCTGCAGTGTTCTCTTTTGTTAGAAATCTCACCAATTAATTAAATCCCCGGATGTGAATGTGGTATATCACACAGCAAATAAAGGCAACAGTAGTATACCGCTGTTCAAAAGTCATAAATCGATTGAGGGAAAACAAATCTGGGTTACAAACTAAAATCGAGAGAAACACATAAACTATAAGAGGAAAACAACGAAACAACAGAAACACTAAAGTGCAATAAAAAACCTAACGACAATGTAAAACACACAGAAACGAACTATAAGATAACAACTGCCATTTTCCTGACTTGGTACAGGACATTTTAAGAAAAATGGTGGGTTGAACCTGGTTTTGAGGCTAGCCAAACCTCGCGCTTTTATGGCAATGTTAAATATAACACTAAAAGGATACGTTACATGACAGAACTAAAGTACAAATAAATGCAAGAACATTCAGGACAGAGAAATAATTCATACTTTTGCAAACAGTTAATTTATAAAAAAAAAATACCATATAATTGATATTGATGTGAACACCGAAGTGCTGACTAACCACAGAATGAAAACGAACACTTAAAACAACCTAGGGCATCACATAAAAACTGCAAAACATAACCACGCATTATCTATCACACGACTGGATTGACGCTACAAAATGACGTCTCAGGTAAATTTCTAAAAATTTGATATATAAAATGCAGTTCAAGATTAGGTGGGAAATTAATCGTATTTGATGTATTTTATAACAATTACAAGACTAATAATATAGAATTGTGTAAGTAATTAGAAAATTAATTGTTTTATCTAGCTTTGTCGGTTTTTCTTCTGAATCAAACTGTAAAACAAATAAATTGTGTACGTTTAGTTGCTTAAAACTAAAATCTTACAAATAATCTGGGTGATTAATTATCTTTACTTTTGAATACGAACAGAAAAAAAAATAGAATTACAACTACAAACGATAAGACATTTAACAATATCCGATCAGAATTACAAATACAACATCATAACCAAATACACGAATGTTGGATAACAAATACCGTGACACGTCTTATAGCAATGCGAATTCACACTCAGCAAAACAGTTATATTCGGGAATAGGTCATGTTCGGTACTTAAAAGACCAGACGACCTAAATGGTAAACCATAATCTAAGACGTGGTAAAAATGTCCTTAATTAGTTATGACAAAAACACATCGTATGGATCAACCAATTCGTGAGCAAAACCACGGATGACACTAATGGAATAAGAATTACTACTGTCCAGCATAACCAGGTTTTGAATAGTTCGTGTTGCTTAATCTGTAGAATCTGATTTTTCGTGTTTGTCTATTGTTTTCCTTTTACCATGATGCGTCTGTGCTTCAATAAGTGGTATTTGTTTGCCATCGAAATTTTCTCTTATCTCTTGATGATTTAAAATATGTCATAGAATATATGAGGAAATGCAATACAAAGAATAACAGCAAAAGAATTTAATTTAATAATATTTTATTGCAATAATCAAGCAATAGGATTGGACACAAGTTATAACAACTTATAGTAAGTCCTCTCCTTACATATATATAATACACATATATGATGACAGCAAACACATACATAATATAGCGACAGTTATAGAAAATAAAGGAAGGAGTCACACATTGGATAGCAACAAAAAAAGCAAATAGGACAGAAAGAAAAAAGAAAGCTGCTGACTTAGAACGTTAGAATCTTTTTTACTGTTTAATGAAATAACGAACTTTACCAAAAATTTTAGAGTTAGTTTCGTAATTATATTCATCTTTTCCAAACGAAAGCGTTTCAATATCAATGTGTATGTTCATATTTATAAGATCATTAATCAGAGATATTCTTTGGTTATAACATAATTGACATTCTAGAAAGTAATGGATGGCATCTTCAACAGGAGAACCGCAGGAGCAATTAGAATCATTCACTACATTTATCTTATTTAAGTCTGCATTTAATGAACTGCACTGGTGCCTTAGTCTTGTATGCAGTATATTAAATTTTCTAGGCCCTTCACCATAATATGTTGGAGGTCTAAATAGTTCATCCTTTATTTTTCGTTTAAATTGTGGGATAGTTGGTGCGTTTCTTATTGTTGGATTTAAATTATTCCATATTCTGACAGTAGATGGTACGAATGACTTTTCAGTTATTCGTAGTCTACATCTTGGGGGTATATAATTATCATTATTTCTTCGGTTGTAGAGGTAGACAGTCGATTAAATATTCGGTACAAAATTTATTATGCATATGATAAAAAATTGTTAATTTTCGTTGTCTACGCCTTTCTGCTAAAGTTTCCCAGCCCGTTTCAAAATATAAGGATTCTAAACTTGAAAATTTTGTTAGCCCTGTTACTATCCTTGCAGCTTCCAATTGTATTTTTTCTAGTTTATTAGATTCATATTCAAAACACCCATCCCGTACTTCGCATCCATATTCCAATAGTGGTCTTATAAATGTGACATAGATATTGGATAAGCTTTTTTTGGAAAGTGTAAATTTTAGTTTCCTTAGTACATTTACTTGTTTTAATGCAGACTTTGTAATATTATCTATATGGCTGGTCCAGTTTCCATCTGATGAAAGTGTGACACCTAAATGCTTGTGAAATTTAACAGTTTCAACGTTTTCACCATTAAATAAAATATTCATTACTGGTGGTTTAACATTTGCAATCACCAATGCTTTGGTTTTCTTTGGATTAAAATCTACCAACCATTTTTTGGCCCATTCATTTAAACTAAAAGGGTCTTTATTAATATCACTTTCAATTGTTTGAAAGTTGCTACCAGAATATGAGAGAGAGGTGTCGTCTGCAAATAAACGGGCTAGGTTATGGAGATTATCTGTAATGTCATTAATATATAAAAGAAATAGTAGAGGACCCAATACAGATCCCTGCGGAACTCCTGCCTTGATTTTTCCCTGATTTGAAGTTTCATTGTTTATAAAAACAATTTGCTGTCTGTTGCTGATATAGTCCTTAACCCAGTCTAATAGTTTACCAGATATTCCATACGAAAGTAGTTTTTGAATAAGGCCCACATGCCAGACTCTATCAAAGGCTTTTGATATATCACAAAATACTATAATGGTAGATAACTTTTTGTCTAGGTTTTGACAAACCCTATGATAGATTTCCAAGAGTTGGTAAATAGTCGAATGGCCTTTAAGAAACCCTGACTGGTATGCATATAATAATGAGTGCTCTAATATATAATTATAGATATGTTTATATACTACTCTTTCCATTACCTAGCCGCAAAACCAGGTTCAACCCACCATTTTTTTCTTAAAATGTCCTGTACCAAGTCAGAAAAATTGCCATTGTTATGTTATAGTTCGTTTCTGTGTGTGCTACATTTTAGTGTTGTGTTTCTGTTGTGTCGTAGTTCTCCTTTTATATTTGATGTGTTTCCCTCAGTTTTAGTTTGTAACCCTGATTTGTTTTTTTCTCAATCGATTTATGAATTTCGAACGACGGTATACTACTGTTGCCTTTATTTACAATGTGTTTCTTTTTTTGGATAACTCAAGCAACACCTCATAAGCTAGAACAGTAATGTTTCTAATTTCAATACTGCAATGTGTTTTAATACAACATCCTTTGATGTATCTTCATCAGTATAAATGTATTCACCAGTAGAAAAATACAGTCTGTATTGCTTCCTCACTAACCAACATAACAAAAGTACTTTCTTCATGTAAATTTGAATTACAGATCAAGAACGGAGAGTTGCCATCATTACGAAACCTTGATGGAGTTTTGAGTGACATATTAACTGCATCACAAGATTATATGAGAAATCAAAAAGTAAGAACTGTTATGATGATTTATGGGAAAAAGTATTTTTCATATTTTTTTATAAAGACGTAATTTGTTATTAAATCAACAAAATATCTATAAACTAAAGATATCTTTTCTTCATTAATCTTCATCCAGAACGCTCCAATCTGAATATTTGAAAGCAATGGATGACGTTGAAGACCTTTATTACAAAAAAACGACATACCAAATAGCCAAACTCATCTAGTTTTAACTTTGCATGAGGAAGGTGAAATCTGCAATTTAAGTATAAACGGACACTTTAAGAAAGGTTTGTTGTGAATCATGGCAGTACCAACCTACTGACTACTGTTCTGACTATCAGGGACTGCTAATAGTCCTCGAGCCAAAGTATTTACCCACCACTGTAAAAAAAAAACAAAAAGTTATGTATTTCATGCGTTTTTTCCCTGGATTTTCTTTCAGTGAAACGGAACATAGCCGAATATTTTAAAGCCAATGATGTATTAAAACCGAAACGGTTGTAAATGCATATGACCCCCAAAAAAGTACATGCAAAAATAGCTAAATCCATCTAAATCCATCTAAAGTATAGACCCACCACTGTAAAAAAGAACGACAAGTTATGAATTTCATGCGTTTTTTCCCTGGATTTTCTTTCAGTGAAAGGGAACATAGCCGGATATTTTAAAGCCAATGATGTATTAAAACCGAAACGGTTGTAAATGCATATGACCCCCAAAAAAGTACATGCAAAAATAACTAAATCCATCTAAATTCATCTAAGTTCAACTTTGCCTGAGGGAGCTGAAACTTTTTTGTTTCAAAAGACTCATCATTGGCTCGAATCAAAATTAACACTATCAGGTTACACTTATACTTTCGCTTATTCAACACGCACCAATGTTTTTCCTGGACATAATTTTAATGTACAATTTTAGAAAACATTTAATTCAGGAATATAACGGTGGTTTTCCAATCGTTTGATAGGTTTCAGCGTTTATTTAATTTTGCCATTATATAAGGGACTTTTCAGTTTGAGTTTTTCTTTGAGTTCGGTATTTTTGTTATATTACTTTTTATATTATTTACATAATTGTTTTTTTTGGTTCAAGAAAACACAAATTATATTTTGCATGCATTTAGAAGTGACATTCAAAATATATCACTTAGATAACATCACATAGTAAATGTTTTTGCGTTCAACACATTCAAGATTTATTTTTGTAACAATAACATATATTTCAAATATAATATGGCTACATTTTAGGATGAGTGTAGTTTTGTTAGTCTACGAGACGTAGAAAGGACTTTGCAGGTGATGAGTTGGTTCAAAAAACAAAGTCAAACACAAAACTTACTGTTTAGAAAGATGACACAACAACGCGGAAATATTGATCCTGAATCAGATTCGGATGATGAGATACCAGAAATCAAACAGCAGCAGGAGGTAATCTTTATTATCATATTTGTTAGATTGTAGGTTTGATTTACAGATGACGACGGATATGTCCCAATTTTTGTATCACAATCACGTACATTTTTCCTCAAATGTAAATTACTTATCACTTGATTTGTACATATACGCGCAACACGACGAATGCAGTATTTGGGACAGGAACTGCATACTCTTCTTGGGCGCTTGAGATCCAACTTGATTCGGTGTGGGATTCGTGCTGTCTGTCTTTTTTCTATATGCGTGTTTTATGGTTTTTCGTTTGACATTTCGTGGTTTTCGTTTTTTTTTTGCCATGGCACTGTCAGTTTGTTTTCGACTTATGAGTTTGAATATTTTTTGGTATCTTTCGCCTCTATTTTAGTTGACCAAGAATTTATATGTCAATGAACTTTAACTTTGATTTTGTTGGGTTTTTTTTAGCTATCTATCATTTCTCTATTTACCCAACATTAACACGAAAATCAATTATATTACAGCTGTTGTTTTTTTTATAGGTTGATGATGTAACTAGAGCATTCATTCTTGCGATCGGAGTGAGTTACCACGCTTGTTTGAAGAACAGAAATGGCTATCGAAAAACAGTGGCAAAGTATTTTAAATCTCCACTTAAATTGAAGCGGGGAGCAGATGAAATAGAGCAGGAAATTTCAAAGTAATAAAGATGTATTTATATGGGCTTTGATTAACGTGTAGATGTGATTTAACCAGAGTTGCAAGACGAGATCTTGCCGTTTTGAATTTTCCTCTCAAAGTTCGGTTTTTTAATTATGGTTTTCTTTTATTGTTTTGTCGAAACTGTTATTTTTTTTAGCTCTTTTATATCTTTTTTGTTTGCCTTAGTTTAATTATTGTCTAATGGGTTTTTATCTTCCCTAGAAAATAAAAAAAATCTATTAAAAGTATATATTGATATGAATTTGATACATTTTTATAGTTTGATTTTATACAATGCATTTTTCGAATTGTTTTGTAGAGTGTACATATCTGTTTGGCAATAACAATGATTAGGACAACAGCTGTTAGTTATTTATCATTTTTTTAGTCATAGTATTGTTCACAGTGAAACATCTATCTGGTGTGTCTAGAACAGTTCAGACGAATTTGAACACTGTCTGTTTTTTTTTTATCTGCTTTGACATACGTGTTATACAAGTCATTAATATGAATACATAAAATTGGAAATGGAAAATGGGAATGTGTCAAAGAGACAACAATCTGACCAAAGTGCAAAAATCAGCCTTTTTAAGTAAAAAAATCCTCTTTTTCAATTGCATACAAAAAAATTTGTTTTATAAGATTCTAATTTCATTTCTTGCATCTTATTTATAAAAGGACATTCAAGTTTGGGTAATCTCGCGTCGTATTTCGGTTAATGATTATAAATGAAATGAATGTATTGGAGTGAAAGATGTACTAAAAGGCAATCAATATTTCAGATCTAATCGATACCTAAATGAACTTGGGGCCCTTTATAGCTTGCTGTTCGGTGTGAGCCAATGCTCCGTGTTGAAGGCCGTACCTTGACCTATAATGGTTTACTTTTATAAATTGTAACTTGGATGGAAAGTTGTCTCATTGGCACTCATACCACATCTTCCTATATCTATCTCAGTGTTTCTTATATTTCTGCATTTTTTTATAGGTGCCAATCTGTATTTTTAGACAGTGTAAAGCTTGCCCCGAACATTGCCAAAAATCAAGCTTTAAAGGAGAATGTGTTTATGATGATAGTGTGCATTGAAATGAGAATACCAATGTTTTTAGTTGGTAAACCTGGAAGTTCTAAATCTTTAGCAAAGACTATAGTTTCTGATTCCATGCAGGGAAATGCTGCTCAGGATGACATTTTCAAAACCTACAAACAGGTATGTAATAGCTTTTGAATCAATTAATAAACAAAATCGATTCAGCTTATCTCTTAAGCTTGCCTTGTCATACATTTTTGTATATGAATCATTGGCTTGATCAATTATAAATAAGTATACATTTTGAACATACATTAACATACATCTGTCGATACCTGTATCTTGGCATTGCACGTGGTCATGTTTTTCTCTGACTGTTTATGACGTCGTTATACTAAATTCATTGGATGTTGGATGTGTACTGATTGACAATTTTGTCTAAGATGCATGATTTTTTTATTAGTTGTTAGTGGCTTTGAACTAGCTGTCAGTAACTGCAAGTATTCTAAGATCAGTATTTTTTGTTGTTGGGATATACAAGTACCCGGGCACGTCCACTATGTGATTTTGTTAGATGTATTTCTATTTGTATTTATATGATGAGTCAATCCTTTTTCAACTGAATTTTATAGCTCGTTCATATGTTGTACTGTTCACCACTGTCCCAGCTTAGGGGGATCTCGCTTACATGTTTTACCCCGCCACATTCTATTTGTATATGTCTGTCCCAAGTCAGGAGCCTGTAATTCAGTGGTAGTCGTTTGTTGTTGTGTTACATATTTGTTTTTTTGTGTTCATTTTTTGTACTTAAATTAGGCCATTAGTTTTCTTGTATGAATTGTTTTACGTTTGTCATTTCGGGGCCTTTTATAGCTGACTTTGCGGTATGAGCTTTGCTCATTGTTGAAGGCCGTACAGTTACCTATAGTTGTTAATTTCTGTGTCATTTGTTCTCTTGTGTAGAGTTGTCTCATTGGCAATCATACCACATCTTCTTTTTTTTTTTATATGAAAGCCATGACTTGAACAAATAATTTATTCTTTGCTGAACATTTAACACCCAAAAATTTATTAGAACACATTACCAATAGGATTTGACGAAAATACCAGCTTATAAAAACGAGTAAATAATTAAAATTTTAATTGTTCGTGAACAATTCAGTGGTCTTTCCTTTTTTCGTTATGTAAAAAAAATGTTTGAATAAAAGAGGGGCGAAAGATGTATTTAAAAGCCATAAAACACACATTAATCCTTACAATATGGTCATTTGTCTATGATATCATTGCAAAAGACCCAATGGGTCTAGAACCTTTGGTTCCAGAGTTAAAACTAATTTTGTGTTTTCAAAATTGAAGGTTAAGCCCTTTAAGGAAAGGTCAAATATCTTTAGTCAAATGTTAAAAAATTGCGTCCTAAAAACACTTTCTTTTTTCTTTGTACACGATTTCCGTAAGTATAATCATGATAATGGTTTTTGAGATATCTAATAAAAAATGTAAGGTCATAGGTCAAGGTTAATCTTAAAAAGATTTAAAACACAGTTTAAACACTTTCAATAAGGTCGAAAACACATAATAAGGTCAAAAATACATTATTTCTTTCTGGGACACGAAAAGAGAGGCAAAAGATACCACATGGACATTCAAACTCATAAGTTGAAAATAAACTGACAACGCCATGGCTAAAATAGAAAAAGACCAACAGACAAACAACAGTACTTTCAACACTATAAAACTAAAGACTTAACAACACGAACACCGACAAGCACATGGGGTAATCTCAAGTGGTCCGGAAAGGTAAGTATATCCTGCTCCACATGTGGCACCCGTCGTGTTGATCGTGTCAGTACAAACCCTGTAAAAAACCTATTTAGTTAAGTTGCATTCGTGAAAATTGGACGGGATTGTTAATAAGACACAGTTAGACACGTTGTTACGGTGTTTGAATGATAACAAGGTTTTAGGTGATCAGAGTAATAACCGCTAGAAAGGAAATGTTACGGCGTTGTGCTCTTACCAAAAGATAACTTTTGGTCAACTGATATCATTACCACATATATTTCTGAGAAATATCGTTAAGGTTTTGCGGAAAGAATAATAATAATCAATAGAAATATAGTGAGGTCTTTCGTTACATAAAAAATAAGGACCTTAATTGAGACGGTAGTAGTTTACAAATTTCCAAATCGTTAATAATAAAGGAAACACAAAACAAGGTAACAAATAGAATCCAATGGAATAACACCAACACAAAAATGAGCCAGAAGGGGGTAGAGTCTTCTGCAATTCATGTGTTACGCCCAAACGTTTTTATCTTTTACCTGTCAAAATTTCGAGAAGGAAACGATTGTTTTAATTAAGACATATGTTGTGGTAATTTAAGATCTTAGACCGCGAAAAAAATCACTAGAGAGTCGAGACACCGACACATGGTATCGGTTAACCAGCCTGTGATGGTGACTCTAAAACATGAGGAATGTTATTTTTTTTTCTTTTTCCCCATTAACACTGTTATAGAAGTTTTTGTGCAAAGATCACATTTCTGTTAATGAAGTCCGTATAGTGTTAATTTACCCGAGAGTAGCTCTCAATTTACTCATTAATTTTTACTGGGTCGATAACACTGATGCCAGACTGCAGTGCAGTAATCATTGAAAGGGTATTTGCTGGATTATAAACATACTTTTCACAAATTTTTCTGTCGATAAACTAAGAAAATATTAAGACACACATTTTCGAACACCGAATGTGTGAGTAATAAACACAAACGTTAGGGACAAAAAAGGTTTGATTTATTTTAAATAGTGGAGATGATGGTATTATGAAAATACAATCACAATGGTATGACTTTAAAATCCACTATAACAGTTATGTTTTGCTTTTATCATTCATACATGGTCGTTGTTAAAAGAGCGGCGAAAGATATTTAACGGATATTCAAACTCAGTCGACAACAATGCTATGTCAAAACACGAAAAACGACAAAAAGATAAACAGTACACAAAACATAACAAAAGAAGACTGCGCAACACAAGTGTGATCTCAGGTGCTACGAAAGGGTAAGCAGATCCTTTTCCACATGGAGACCATGCGTGTTACTCCTGTAAGCCTTGTAAATAAGCTTTATCAAGTAATAAGTCATGGGGTTTTTTTCTTCAAGTAAAAATCCAACATTTAATACTATAAGATGGATAAAAGTTCATGTCAAAATAAGTCATAGACATACATTTTACTTTTGTATTCTCTAAATCAAGGTAAGTTTTTATCATAAAAAGTAATAAAAATATGTGGACACAAATATCTTGTAAGTGGAAGGATGTGTCTGTTATCAAAAGCTATGGTAAAAACATAATTAGCTAGATTTATGCATTGAACATTCATTCGAGTGATTTATAATTTTTTTATTTTTATTCCAAAGACATGAAAATAAAGATAATAATAAATATTTCTTAACATGTAAAACGAAAAAGCGTCCATCAAATAACCATTTTCTTTTGCTTTATTGAATCTATTTAATTATAAACTCGGTATAAGATTTTGTTTGTTTTCAGGTTCAGATGGTATCTTACCAATGCAGTCCTTTATCAGTACCAGAGGGAATTATTGGTGCATTTCGACAGTGTGCCTCTTACCAAAGAGATAAAGACCTTGACAGATATGTGTCAGTAGTTGTATTAGATGAAGTTGGTCTTGCTGAGGACTCTCCAAGAATGCCATTGAAGGTTAACAATATATTGAATCAAATTATTGACTTATAATTAATTGTACATGTTTTTACATTCAAGTGTCTGTAAAACGCTCTTAAAATATCTTAGGAACATGGACGTTTATAGCATTGTTTGCTTTTGTTCACACCAGTCGTTCGCCGTATTTTGTCAAAATAGAATTAAGAAAATGTGATTGAGTGCTAATGCAACATCTCTCTATCCAAGTCACAATATGTAAAAGTAAACATTAATAGGCCTTTGTTCACACCAAACACCAAGTTATAAAGGACCCCCCAAAAATAACTAGTGTAACACAATTGAAACAGGAAAGCAAACGTTTAATCTATATCAAAAACGAGAAACGAGAAATACTTATGAATCACATCAACAAACGACAACCATTGAACAATGGACTCCTGACTTAGGATAGGTGTAACCAAATGATTTAACTGGTACCAACCTGCACCCTGACCTGAAACAGAAGTGTAAAATAACAACACAGAAAGTCTAAACTTTGTAAAACTCACTTATACCAACCGATTTCTTTCCATTGTTATTAAAGGTCTGAATCTGTTAATTTGACTTCTTGTCTCTTTGGTAGACAAATTCTTTTTGTAAGGTGATTTTTTTAATGATGCAACCGCATTTACAGAATGAAACAAGGAAGAAATGTCAAAGCTAAACATCTCCTTAGATTTCAGAAGAGATCATTACAAAAGTCCAAAAGTCTGAAAAGATCAATTTTTGTCTTAATTTGCATGAACAACTACTCGACATTCTCCAAAAGGATGACTTGTGTCTTCATTTTTCTTGACAAATTCTGATTTATATCAAATTTGTATGAAATTTACTCGACAAATTCTCGACATTCTGAATATGGTCTTAAAATTTCTTGACAAATTCTTGACATTTGAATACTGTCTTGAAATTTCTCGACATATTCTTGACATTCTTATTTTTTCTCAGTATGGCTTGACTTATTCTGAACATTTTGAATTGTGTCTTAAATTTACTTGACAATTCTGAGTTTTACAAATAATGACCAATATACCTATAATAACTTTCATATCTATTTCTCTTCGTATAATATACTGTTGTTTCAAGTTAAACTTATTACAACAAAAACCAAAGTTGGGCATGTAAATATGAAATAATAAAAAATTTGGGTATATAAATATTTTTATAAATACAAATACGGCTATGAAATTTTAAGTGTGAACAATACAAATGTGGGTATATTGATATAAACCATTTTAAATGTGGTTTGTAAATAATTAAAAATGTTGATACCTAAATCTTATAAATAATTGCTTAAATGATTAAAACCAATGCAACTGTAGACATATTTCATTCTACATGCATAATATTCAATGTTAATATGGTAAATAAACAATTTGTTCCAAAATGTATTTTTTTATTAATAGCAAAGTATTATTATATCCTAATTCTTCTAAGGATTTGTATAGTCTTGATTTAACAGAAGAAAATTTGTGTAATGTCATTTGTTGCAATATATATTTAGTATTACTATGTGGACAGGATGTTCCCCAGAATAATCAGGTATTCCAAATAATTTATACACACCCCAGAGTATACACAATTGTCAAATGGAAAATTACAGCTTTACCTGTAATCAGCCATGCAACTTCTCAGTTGACTGACCATGCCACTACAATTTTAAAAGTTTGTCGTTAGATCAAAATGAAAATCTTCATTTTAAATAAAATGTTTAGAACTAAAATGGATTCTCTTCGTCAAAATAATGAAGTGAAATAATTTAACATAAAAACAGATCTGAAATATTAAAAGAAAATTATTATCTCTCCGGGAATAATAAAAATCTGTATTTATAAAGGATCCAACCTATGAAATAATTGGTCTTATGAAATGGATCTCACACAGACATGCATAATTAAGATCTAAACATTTTTTTTGTTCTATGATTTCTTGAGAAAAAAAATCAAGAGGGAAGTATAACACATTTTCAGTTTTGATATAAAATTATGATATACAACACTCAATTTTGAATAAAAAAAGTTTTTGTTGTCCTCAAAAAATTAATAAGTTTTTGAATTAAGCCACACACGCACAAGAGGAATGGTGTGGTTCAAAAAAGTCACACGGTCACATTTTTAAACTGCCTCAGGTCACCCATTTTAGTAAAGACAATTTGACTGGCAGTTTTTCAACCGGCAAATGCTGTTTGTCAGTAACTAATACATATATTCCAAGTGAAAACAATTTAATTAAACGTTTAATAAAGAATAAATTAAAATAAACTACATGGCGTCATTTGGGGTACTCCCAATCAGAAGCATCCAAAGGGTATTTTCTTATACAAATCCTTGATTCTTCTAAGTTTAGTTTAGCGATACTTAAAATGAGTACATAACAGCAAAAGAAAGTGTTTAAACAGTTCGGAATGTGTCTGTACACAATTCAGGCGAAAGTTATACTTATGAGATAGTGTCAAGACATCTTTCAGACAGTAGAGACTGTGTCGAGATATATTCAGACAGCTTTAAGACTGTCAAAAATGTGTCAAGATATATTCAGACATTATTAAGAATGTCAAGAATATGTCAAGACTGATCGAGACAAATTTAAGACAATAAAGAACTGGTCGAGACTAATCAAGACTCTTATCAGATGATACAGAAAGGGTCGAGAAATTTTAAGACAATGTTAATACTTGTCAAGAAAAATCAAAAACCTTATTAGACAAATTCATACTATGTTAAGAATTTTTCAAAATTATTCAGGCAAAGAAAGAATGTCGAGTAAAAATTAATGCAAAATCAGACAAAAACTGGTCTTTTCGGACTTTTTGACTTTTGTAGTGGATGTTTCTGGATAAACGATACCTTAAACATTGTTTATCAACAAATCGTTACAAATGAACAGTCAATAAAGAAAATATATCAGAACTTGTACCATTTGTCTTACCGAGATATAACAGATTATTGATAGAATATCGGAATTTTTAATATTTGTATATACAAACAAGTTATTAGGTAACCATTTCATTACATGCACTATGTCATTGCTAATGATCAAATTTGTTTTTTGTTCTGCAGACTTTACACCCACTTTTAGAGGATGGATGCATCGATGACGAAAATCAAGAAAAATATAAAAAGGTATAACATTTTGATTAAAATTTTTTACATTTGCTTTCTGTTGATCGGAAGTCAAAAGTGTTCATTTAGTTTAAATGGAGCATACACGAATTCATGTTTAATCAAATTTTTATTATGTATATGTGTCATCAACATATAACATTTAAAAGTCAGTCTTTTTAATACACTATTTGTAAATGTTATTTGTATTTGATTTGGTGTTATTTTGTAACATTTTGATATGTTTGGATGTCTCATAGATACGTGTAGCTACTATTGAATTAATTTATTCCATTATTAGGCTTTATTTGTGATTATACTATATCATCATATAGCTGCACTGAAAAGTGTTGCTTATATTGATGTTGGGACAAAGAGGACGATACTGCCAATAATTTGTGAAACTTAATAGAAACAGGAGGTGAATCAATCTAAGTTTCTCTGCAAAAAGATGTTTCAGCTAGTGTTTTGATTCGTATAATGTAATTTCCGCTGTTGCTATCGGTTTTTGAAAATTTTTTGGAAAACGACCAAAACGCAAACCAACAACAATACCTTTTTTTCCTTTAATGTGATCACAAATTGAGTTTTGAGGAAGAATACACAAGTGTTACAACTTCTTTCATCATGATGTAGGTCTTCAACAGTCATATCACATTTTTGCACTGGATTGTCACTAAAAGAAACATATGATCTAAAGTCTTATATATTGGTTTTAAGCAGACACAACTGAGCCTGTATAGTATAACTTCGTTCATGCAAAATAAAACTTTAGAATTATATTTATCCTATAGGTTGCCTTCATCGGCATATCAAACTGGTCACTGGATCCAGCTAAAATGAATCGTGGTATCCTTGTACAGCGTGACGTTCCTGATATTACAGAATTGATTGAAAGTGCAGAGTAAGGTGTATTATTGTTGTTTTTATGATATGAAATTGTGTACTTATAGCATTAGCTATGAAATCAAATGCAAATATTTACCTCCATATTCACAGTAGAACCTCTGACTTCATTAAAACGAAGTTTTTTGTCAATGACATCACATCAAAACGAAATGAGAAAACTCGAGTAAAATGTGAAGTTCTTTGTGTTTTCTTCTATATTTTCATTAGGCAATGTGAATAAAGAATTACTAATGCCGAAATAAGGGAATATCGAATGATATTCAACTTGTCCTCGAACCTCAGGAAGAAGTTGTTAATGAATAGAAAAAAAGGATTATTTCCCCTGGAATTGATTGTTTTACCCTCATATTATTTATTTGAAATCTCTAAATGGTTTTTGTTTCATGTAAATGCAAAAAATGTATAAATTTGTGATATAAAGGACAAGTTGTTGGATAGGAAAAAAGAAAACGAAAAAAATCAGCATCATCTTTCTATATGCATTTTTGACATTGACAGGGGGATTTGTTGCACAAACAGAAACGTATTGAACTGTATAAAACCACTTATACAGCCTCTGGCAGAGTCGTATTTAGATCTGTTTCAGCTGGCCTCAGCAGAAATGAGAGAATTTTTCGGACTCAGAGATTTTTATAGGTAAAACAATTATCATTTTTAAGATGATTTATAGGAACCAAATATAAAAGTTATGCACCAGACCAGCTGTTTTTATTGTTGCGAATGACGGGAAATTTATATAACATTATAATATGACGGCCTTTATGTTGTACTTCTTTAAATATAGACAATGCAATTTCCCATAGGACTTCATTTTCGGCTCAAACTATTCGCAAACAACTCTACTCAGAAAAGGATATTTTTTTGCAAAAGTCAAAAGGGTCGTGCGGCATATTTTCAACATATATATGCCTCGTACTTCTAAGAGTTTGATCTTATACTTAAATTCTGTACTGCCCTTCCCTTAATTTTAGGTCTTCCTGAGAATCCAATTTGCCCGCTATCCTATAGTTGTTTTACATGTAAAATTACAAGTTGTATCTCAATGATATGAAACATGGAGATCATAGCTGGGAACCAGTAGGTAAAATAAACAAAAAGTTATATATATTGTATTTATCTACCAAAAATAGGCGTTGTTTGCGAATCAGCTGCATTTGCAAACAGCAACCTTTGCTTACATTTATCTAAATAGGTGTTATGCTTTTTTCTTCTTTTTGAAATGAAATGCATAGAACTTGATAACAAATTGAAACCATTTGAGAATACAATAAATATAAAGTTTTATAATCAATCCTTCTAGCATTCAACATTACAACATTATATAAAGTATTCAATCGTGCCACTGTCTCAGGTATATGTTCATTTATCTTTATAGCATTGTTTGCCTAATTGGTCAGTTTAAAATTTTGTTACAACCTTATCCTCTATAACCAAATACCCAATATAAATTGGCTAATAAGCTAGAAGTGTTTAAACAAAGCCATTTTTGCAACGGTTGTTTAAATGAAGTTACCAGTTTTACTTGTTTTTGCATAACTTCAAAGGAAGGATCTAAAAAATCACAGCCTATAAACGTTGTAAAAATTTGTAGATCAAACTGGACTGATTTGCTAATTTTGCATTATAATAGAGATAAACGTAGTATATTTCAAATTTGGCCTACATAAAACGTGTGTTTTCAGTTACTGTTGCAAATTGAGTTTCCCTGGTCGTATAAATAAGGTGGGCGTAACGAGGAGCATCCCTCTCTCTCTCTCTCTCTCTCTCTCTCTCTCTCTCTCTCTCTCTCTCTCTTTATATAAGTAAATCTGTTTCACACCCGTAACCAAACATTCATATTGAAACATATTCTAAAAATATCAAACAATGTTATCAAAGTTACCAGACTGAAAGTTCAGTCCATCTGATGCGGGTTTTGAACGGAAAGTCTCTAATCAAATGACAAAATCAAAAGTTAAACACATTAAACGAATCAGTTAATGTATAACGTGGAAATATCAGTGTTCACCTATAAACCAAATAACTGCTCCACCATGTATGCAACATATTCAAAATATATGGAGTTTCACGTAGATTAAAGACGAATGTTGTTCACTGATAGTTGTGTATATATTAAGATGGTATGGTTGTCTTTCACCATCTTGGATTGTAATTAACATAGAAAGGTCCAGATTTTCAATCAAATTAATAAAATTTCATGAGGAATGCAGATAACTAATATGAGTTTATAAGATTTTAACATTAAATATAAACATTTTTACAAACGAAGATTACCCTTCCGAAGCACCTGAGATCACCCCCAGTTTTTGGTGGGGTTCGTGTTGCTCATTCTTTATTTTTCTATGTTGTTTTTTGTGTACTATTATTTGTCTGTTTGTCTTTTTTATTTTTAGCCATGACGTTGTCAGTTTATTTTCGATTTATGAGTTTGAGTGTTCCTCTGGTAACTTTCGCCCCTCTTTGCTTGTTTTCTCTGGTTTTTTTTCTGTTTTGAGGTAACTCTGAAATAGTGCATTTTCTAGAGGAATCTACTAGCAATTTTGCTATTTTGTATTTTATCCAGAAAAATCGCACGGTTACCCTATCTTTTCTTTTGATATTCTCAAAGCTTTTTCTAAAAGTTATCCTCTCGTATTTTATTTTACAATTCTATCATTTAGTTTAGCTTCTAATAACATAATGATGTTTTTTCTTATATAATCCATACAAAATGTGTCATTTTGTCACAACCTGAAGCTTGAGAGATTGCACGGTAACCTATCATTTTTATTATATTTTTGAACAATATATCCTAAGTTTTGGCAAAGTATGAACAAATTTTATCATTTTAAATTTATACTTCAATACCACATTAAGAAGATACATATCAAGCTAAAAACTAATTGTTGTTAAAGTATTTAACGTATGCTATCAAAAAGAAGAAATGAGAACATTACAAAAAATAGGGGTAGTTTCTTTATTATATAAAAAAGAAAACCCTCTTCTTTTGGACAACTCTAGACCAATTACTTCACTCAATGTTGACACACAACTTATGGCATATTCTTTAGCATTACGTTTTAAACCAATACTAAATAAATTTATCCATAGTGACCAATTTGGACTTCCAAATCGTTTTATAAAATGGGTTAAAACTCTGTATAAAGATATAAAAGGTTGTATGTTCAACAATGGGTGGGTCTCATCGTCATACAACATTAAGCGCGGTATTAGGCAAGGCTGCCCATTAATTGTTATTGCTGTAGACATTTTGTCCTGCAGAATAAGACAAGACTCCAACATCAAAGGTTTTCAAATTAAGCTAGATACTAAAACACATAGTTTAAAGATCTCACAATTAACTGACGACACAACACTTTTTTCTAAAATCAAAAAATGAATTACGTCACACGCCTGATATTATTGAAGTCTTTGGAACCCTGTCAGGTTTAAAACTAAACAGATCAAAAACAGAGGGCATTTGGTTAGGAAAACTAAAACATTGTAAAGATAAGTTTGAAAACATAAAATGGAAGAAAGGACCAATAAAAAGTCTAGGAGTTTATTTTGGAACAAATCGAGCTGAATGTGATAAGCTTAATACTGAAAAAATAATACAAAAATGTGACAAATTAATAAGTAATTGGAAAAAAAGAAATCTTACAATGATAGGTAAAATAACAATTGTAAATTTTCTTCTTATACCAAACCTTACATATTTAGCTTCAGTCACAAACCTACAACATGAACTTGTTCAACAGTTTAAAACTCTTACTTATAATTTTATATGGGATGGTAAACAAGAAAAAGTAAATCGAACTATATAAAGCAAAGATACTACTGATGGAGGTCTTAAGATGACAGATATACATGTAGACAATTATATAACTGCACTACAAATAGACTAACTTCAAATAATTTGAATGATTCCGACATTTTACTTTAATAAATTTGGTGCTAATTTCATGTTACTTTACATGAATCCAGACAACATTTACTCCATACAAAACCTACATAAAACTTTACCAAAATTCTACTTAGAAATTGTAAAGTCCTGGTTTAAAGTACAAAATTCAAATAACACCAAACTCGCTATGAATTTTAAAAATATTAGACAACAAATCTTATGGGGAAACAAAATGATAAAGTTTCAAGGAAAGTGTTTAGTTTTTATAAAATGGATAAAAGAAGGTATTATATATATTAATGATATTATTAACCAGAATGGTAACATCTCTCAAGATATAATATCTAATAAAATATCATGAAAATCCAATTTAATGTTTGAAATTTCAAAAATTAAATATGCTATACCAAATGAATGTCTCAAGGAACTGTAATCAGATAAATCAATAAAATCAAAAGTAAAAAATAAACTTAACCTTTGCATTAAGAAAAAAGAAAAAAATAAGATAACAAGTTTACAAGCAATGGAAACAAAACAGATATACACACATTAATAATAGAAATGAAGACATGCCTCCAGGTTTCTTAAAATGGAAACGTGTACTTAATTTAGATTCTTTAATCCCAATTAAATCAATGGTAAAATTTGTATTTACTTATTTAAAAGATAAGAGATTAAAAATATTTAAATGGAAATTGTTGCATCATATCCTTCCTTGTAAACAACTGCTCTTTCAATGGAAGATAAAAGAAGACAGTAAATGCGACTTATGTAATGAATCAAAAGATTGTAAACATTTTTTTCTGGAATGTCAATACTTTAAAGCGTTTTGGGAAAAGATCAAAATACTATTAAATAAAGTTAAAATTGGTCATCATATCCTAAACTACAGAAATCTCATTGTAGGATATAAAATCTGTGACATCAATTATTTTGATATAAATCTTTTGGTAACACTCAATACATTTTCCATCCACAAGTGCACTCACATTTCAAATTATAAAACTACAAATCTTGATGTAAATACCCTGTTCAATAAAGACTTTTTGAACTATTTAAATATTTCAACACTAACAGGTGGTAAACATGGTAAAATTTTGAAAGAAATAATCTTGTACATATAATTATTATTTTATGCATATATGTTATATGCTATATTTATTAAACAATACATGTGTCTCACCATTATTTAATCTTTAGACCACGTGTTGTGGACTTCGTCATGATCATGATCAGTGATAAAACATTAAACCCCAATTATCCTTAAAGCATCCTTCCTTAATTTAAATCACATATTCATAAATAATTAAACTAATATAAACACTTCAATTCGCAACCAAGTATGTATACCTTCATAATTAACAAGTACAAACAGCTTCGCCAGTTAACTTGCCTCCATCGTGTGATCGTTGATCAACAGGTCATGACCAGGTCAACTAACAGAGTCAAAGCGGTCCACGAATGTAATTTTTCCGGAAATTAATTTCGGTAGTAATCTGTTGTATTGATACATAGAATGTAAATGTAACAATTTGTTATCATTAATTTACTGAACAATCTCCCTGTTTGTTCAGTAAAACTAATTCTACAGGGGTGCCCTGTCAAATACCGAAGACATGGTATTCATTATAACAGCAATAGTGCAATAAATCAGATTTTAAATAAAAAAAAAACAAAAAAAACTAGCGAATTTCAAAATAAGCGTCGATATACTAAGCATCACTTTCTTTCCTTACATCACTCGCCATACCTGACATAATAAAAAGTAGCTTGTTTGCGTGACAGCAGAATTTTAAGAAATGGGCATATAGAATAGTTTTAAGCAGTAAACTTAATGCTTCAAATATATCTTTCAGTTTAATCAAGATGTTGTATGCTTTTGCATCAAAATCGGAACAGAAACCAACATGGCTACAGTTACAACATTGTATATTGCGAAATTTTGGTGGTTTGGATACTATCAAACCTGTGGATATTTTTTGTAGAAAAGTTATTGTAGAAAGATATGATCAGGTATAGAAAAAATAAATAACAAAATTTTCTGTTCAACTGGTTATGGTTGAGGGGTCAAAATGACTGTTTAGATGTCCTCATACACGAAGAGAAATAAATGACAGTTGGTTTATCAATCTTATATTGAGACCGGTGAGTAACAATTGTTATTAGGAGTAATTCCACTATCGTTTTTCTCTTATTATAATTTCCTATAAAATGACCTTACTCCACGTAACCAACCTATCTGAACGTATCTTGGCCTTAAGCATTGAAATGTGACAGAGCACGAATTTTTCGCTCATTGAATACAAATATTTGTTGAAAGTGTATATTTAATAATTAAACCAATCTACTAATTTAATTCTTAAAAGTTTTGTTTTTAAAGTCGGGATCATTGTATCGACAACAACCTTTTATAAAAATGATTTATCCAGTTATTGTTAATCAATTGCACCGATCATTTCTTTTTCACTTGACCTATGTATGCATTTTTTAAAGGGTGAATTCTTTTAACTACAAAATCCAAATTTTGTATGAAAAAATAAATGATGAAATCTAAAGCGAGACGATATTTTTATTTTTTAATTATTAGTTATAAGGTTAAAGCAGGAGTTTGAAACACGCAAAATTATAAAAGGTGTACACAACTAACTACTTTTAAGCACACTTCTATAATTTATTTTAAGATGTGATTGTCAAAATTAAAAATTCAGATCACTGATGCATCTATCTAATATAACTTTGTCATTTTCCCGTAGAATAGATTGACCGATGTCGGTTAAATTTTACATACTTTTCCTTGTTGAACTTTATCTGACAATTGTACCATAATGCATAACCACATTTATGATTTCATAATTTCATCAAATTTCAAATAGATTTTTCTTAAAAACTTAATGTTATTGAAACATAAATATCCGTTTAAATGATATGAATGATTAAAAGGTTGGAGATATATAAAAATGTCAAAAAGGGGTACCGCAGTCAACATGGCGTTATCAAATTAATCACTATAAAAACAAACAAATGTAACAAAGAAGCACATAAGCATACATCAAATTTAACAACATCATTTTGCTTTTTTTATTATACGATTTTATTTATCTATGTAAAATCCACCTATAAATTAAAGGATTGACAGATTTTAAGTACTAGGACCGAATCCTTACCCTGACAGATACATGGTTGGAGTAACTTTAAATCTCACATAGAATCGCGCGTTTGACGTCACACAGGTAGCTTTAAAATAATTTTGTCGTTCAAAGTATGACGGGATGCATAAGTACAGAGTCACGTCAAATGGATATCACAAAAAATAGACTTAACAGTGGAAGTAATATTAATAAAGACAAATAAAAGAATACTATAACACGTTATTAAGATGATAAACAACGTTAATACGCAGAATCTGTACTTCAAGACCATCGTGTATTATTTGTGAAGTTGATACGGAATATTTATCAACAAGGTCTTGGTACCTTCCGATGAACTTTTTTTTATAAAAAGGACGAGACGTTCTTTGACATACCCCTGGTTCATCAACTTTCTGCCCAGACACTGGTGACGTTTTACAAAGTCTGAGTAGGAGCTGCAAGCTCTTGAATACCGAATAAATTTGAAAATGTATATCCCATATGCAGGTGTAGTTGGTATATTGCTTCTATTTGTATTTGAAAGTTTCACATACAACCTCCTTGCATACAAGATAATAAAACATCAATGGAAGTGAACCAATCAAATGTTCACGCCTTTTTATCCTATGTACAAGCTTAAGTAACCATGTCACCTCAGATTTTCAAAAATATCTAATAGAAATACCAAATAAAAAAAGAATAGTGCTTCAAAACACCCAATATATATGTTTGTGACTCAGAAATTTTTTTCTGCAATGACATGCAAGGCTTATTTCCATCAAATGTCAATTTTAAGGGAATATGTTTTTACCTTTTTTCGGATGTAACTGGATATGACGTACTATGATTTGGTGTTATTACACGAATGACCTCTATCTCGTCATCTTTTCCTCAAATGTGACCTATCGCATAAGATTTATCACCGAATTTGTACTTACATGAGCAACATTACGGGTGAAACATATGGAGCAGGATCTATTCAAACGTCAGGTGCAATTTAGATTAAACCTGTTTTATGGTGGGGTTTATGTTGCTTAATTTTTAGTGTTTTGTGAATAGCTTTGTGGAACATAATACTGTTGGTCTGTTTTATTATATCCTTGGTATCTCTTCATCTACTTTTTAATCAACATCAATATTGCACTGCTTTTTCATATTGGATTAATTTATTACAAAACTATACATTTAGACAAAGATGAACAGTGAAAACTCCCACTTGACTTTAAATCGATGCGTTTGTAATGATATCTTCTGATTTTCTATCTTTTCATAAAGGACATGCAATGATGAAACTTTATTAAAAATGTTCTGTAGCTAAAGACTTTGGGCTGCGAAGTTAAAAAAAAGAAGCTTTTACTGAAACAATATTGTTTTATCAATTTCAATTTGTTTATATCTGCTATTTTTCCTTTCGGATTGTTGTAACATTTTGATGTATGTTTTCATTATGTGGTTTTCTTAAAATGTTTAATTTCTTCTCCTCTCTCGGAGTCTGATGATAGCCCCTCACCACCCGCGCACCAGAGAGAGATACAATTATAGATGTCCATCTCGACACTTTTTAAATACTTATAGACAATTATACTGAAAAAATGCATACATGGTAGGATTATTTATCATCGCATTATTTTGACCACACAATACCATTAATTTGATTTGAAAATTGTTACACGTTTAATGGCAATAAGACAATTTAACAAACTTAAGTAACAAATTTCCACCTTGTGAACGCAACTCCTCTTGATATCCTTATTCAAAAAGTACTCTTGTGTAGTTAGCCATTCTTAAACGTCATTCTTACTCGACGTTTTTTACAGGTTCTTTCAGACATTTTATTCATGTATAATGTGCAGCTGAATTTGGCTTTATATTGCTAAAATTGTAATAAATAGTCATCACATTAAAAATGTGTCGATCATGACTTTCCATTGAAAAAATTCATCAGCATTGTATTATCTGCTTTTAGAATATTTATATTTTTATATATAGCCAAAAGATGATGATCCTGACAATTCGCCACCAGGACTGATCCAGGCTTGTCTAATAGGAGACAAAATTTCCAATAGGTATTTATAATTATAAGATAGACATACATTTTCCAATTTGCTTATTACGATACATTAGATAACCATAAGACATTTATTTTTCAAAGAGTAGGACAAAACAATAAAAAGATGTTATCATATTTTCTGTATATTGTTATTATAAGTATCTTAGAAAGCACTAAATAACATATTCTTAGATCAAATATTAAACGTAAGATTTGTAGTCTATTGATTTTATTTTAGTGAGACTAGATACCTGTTACTATTGACAGAGAATTATGGTGCTCTGACAATATTACAGCAGAAAATCTTTGCCATGGAAAATGTAATGGTTATTTTTGGTAGTAGCTTTCCTAGCGACCAGGAATACACACAGGTTCATTATATCTATATCTATACAGTTTTTGTAGTAAAAATATATAGTAGAAAAGAAGAAAAGAATATAATTTCCCCATTGATTGAACACAAGCTAATCATTGTAAGAAAAATCAAGGTTAAATACCACTGTCTGTAAATATTCATAGTTCAATACATATTTCATCTATTAGCAATAAATTAATATCACTGTAGTTTACCTATGTTCAAGCCGGTATAGTATTAAATACTTCTTGCTTAGTCGGAATTAAACCAAATGGTAAACAACACATATATTTGGTTGCTCTGATTGAGAGCAATGAGTAAATAGATCACTTGAGGTAATAAGAAATGCGTTATCGAGACACGAAATATATATGTTATAGTCAAGCTATTATGATCTCATCTCGGATCACAATCTCACACAGTATGTATACATGATAAAATCCGACTATTAAAATTACGATTATTGCTAATAAATTGGTGACTTTAAAGTAAAGGTCATCAAAATATTTTTCAAAACATAAACTATCTGTAAAAACTTGATAATTTTCTTTCATTACTTATTCCAAATTGGGAAAAATAACAATCCATCTCACATTTGTCTTGCAATTGCTTTTGTAAATTATATACAAGGTCTGTTATGGTACAGATATCTTATTTTTCTATTTTTGATTCATGTCAACAGATATGTAGAAATATCAATAGCGTCAAAGTTTGTATGGAGACAGGTAGCACAGTTATCTTGCTCAATCTGGAAAACCTGTATGAAAGTCTCTACGATGCATTGAATCAGGTATTTTCACACAATAAGAACAACAAACTGGTCTATTTACAGCAATATATATGTAAAAAAAATGTCAAGCAAGCGAAAATGTTAGAAAACGGTTTTATTTTTTTAAAAGGTGAAAAAAGACGAAATTTAGAATATTATATTTTAGTTAGATTTTTAAATTTAATTTTTTATATGTGTGTGCTAATTACCATTTAAAAAAAACTATATTTCAGTATTATGTAGAATTTGGTGGCGAGCGATACGTTGATCTTGGTCTTGGTACACACAGGGTAAAATGTCGAGTCCATAAAAAGTTCAGGTATTCATATACAAATACTCATCATAATATGGTAATTTTGAGAATTCTCTCTTAAATTTACAAACCAGATAGAGTTTCGTTTTCTTCAGATCGAAGATTTCCTCTCATGACAAGTGACACAAATATCGGATCAGTCTAATAAGATTTTTTTAATTTGTATTTTCATATGTTTTTTTTTTTATCTCTATCAATTGGCCTTTCACAGACAGGGTTAATTTGTATTAAACAAAACGTTCGTCTTATGTCTTCAACTTTCATTCTGATCTTTGATTGCTTTTCATTCATGCTAACTTTCTATATCAGACTAATTGTGGTAGCAGAGAAACAGATTGTATACGACAAGTTTCCAATACCACTGATCAATCGTCTGGAGAAACATTTCTTGTCATTGAAGACCATGCTTACAGCAGCTCAGCTACAACTGACAGTTAAATTACAGGAATGGGCACACAAATTTTGTGAGGTGAAAGTACCATTGCATATGAGACATCTTAGACCAAGGTTTGTTAGTATAACGACAAGCGTTAATGGTTATTATATATCCTACGAATGATGGTTTGTTATTGTTTTCGAACTTTTTAACATTTGAAAGTTTTATTGCAACTTAGGTATCTCGCGGTTTGTTTATTCAATTAACCAGTATTTTTTCACAAAAACAATTATCTTCAGACATAAGATGGCTAAGGTATAATACACAAGCGTAACAGAATCTTTATCAATTCAAGATTTAAACTAGAAAAATCAAATCTTTATTGATTCACATTGATACACTTTTTGAAATCATTTTTGAAATGTTAGTTTAACAAATTACCATGTTCATAAAGTCAAATCCCTTGCAATCTAGACAGTATAAAAGACATGACTAAATTTTATGACGCCAGACATCAGTTTAAATTACATTGATAGTACATCTAAAACTTCAAATGAGACAATTAGCTATATAATAATGCATTATTTAAGTTTGCACAATACGCAGTGTTAACCAGAGGTCAAATGTGTGCGAAACGTTGATTGTTACAATACTATAGTGAAAACTTTACTTCACGATACAAGTAGATTTAAGCATCATTTTTCTGCTGCAAATTTTGTCACATTTAATTTATTACTTGGACTATCATGACGGTACGTTATCGTAAACCTTATACACGTTGTTTTATTTTTGATTATCAATGAATTGTTAAACGGATTGAAAAAAATGTCATAAATTAAAGTACTTGCAGTGCATTTTAAACTGTATTTTTATTAATTTACCAGTGTACAAATAAATATCATTTTAGGCAAGATGCCAAAAAGATTAATGAAGCTTTTATTGGATATCATGCCGATGCTTGTGCAGCAATTATACTTCATGCTTGTCAAGAAAAGAATTGCACTGATGAAAATATTGTCGAGTTAGAAGAAGAGGTATTGAACACCGTTTGCTATCAAAAGCGCGTTTTGATAAGCGTTGAACTTGTTTTATTTCCCATGACTATTTTATGTAGATTTTTAAAATAATTTATTGTCGTGTATCACAGTCTCAGAAGGCAAGATATTATAAGAATGTCATAGGTCCGCTTTATGTTAATCCTGCATTTAAATCTGTTTTGTCGGAATTAATAGTTGACAGCTTGACTATGGACCACGTGACGGAAGGCACATACATTGCCGAAAAAGCTTACCTCTTTTCACTCTTAAGCTATGTTATTGAATACATAAAGATGTTGGATCGACATAACAATAGCACCAAAGCAATGGCACAGAAATTCAAGAGAAATTTAGTCTTCAGTTATAAATAGATATCTTGAAAGATATATCAAATTATATTGTTGTTAAACTTACCTTTATCATATCTTTTTAAACATCAGCATAGTACATTCTAGATGCTGCTAGTATAACCCTACATGGACGAAAATTTTTTCAAGTGACAAATTGCAAACGAACATTTTGCATTTTGCTTTAAATACTTACGCAATATTACTTTGAAATTCAATTTCACCTTTCGTATATGTGTTCATCGGTTCTTCACGTAGGTCTTTTTAATTCAAGGTACTAGATTTTTCCAAAGAAATTCTATTGTGGTGTGCATCTCCTTCGGCAGTACTATTGAAGGAAGATAAAATCATATTTGCAAAATATTTTCTCGACCAACATCACGAAAACCTGTTCGATTATCTACATTTTAAGTTAGATGATCTGAAGGAACCAAATCTTACTGTTCAGGTAAGGCGTTTAAAAGTTGGTTCTTGAAAAAAAATGGAAATGCATTTTCAATCTATATATACTTACTTGTACTATTTTTAAGTGTCCTAATTCTGTTTACCATCCCGACATTCAGTGTTCATTATTTTCCACATAAGAGTTGTACACTTATCTTTATCGATTGGTATGAATGATTTGACAATGGTAATATTAATGAGTCAATCATCAAATTTATACAGCGACGATTATTCAATCAAGGGAATAAATTGAACTCTGTCATGCAAGGTATAAAAGATTGAGATGTTTTACTGGTTAGTATTATACGTTCTATTGGTTTAAAAAGAGAGATAAGGTACTTTGGACATATTCAAAATAGTCCAAACGAAGGTTGAATTAAGATGTTGATTTCTTTTCTTTTCTTCAAATACGGAAGTAAACTCCAAACTAAAAATATATATTATTCCGTGCTTGCAATGAAAACATTTTTATTTATCAGTTATGTAAAAATAAAATTATAGTTTCATAAGTTTAATTATATGTCCACTGATTAAAACAAACTTTATGAAATATTAAATCTCATGGAATTCCCCTTTCCTTTAGTTACGTTGCTGATCTTTTCGAATATAAAGTAAATATTGAAATGTTTTAATAATCATTGCATTTACTTTAGATAACAACTCATTCTAAATTGCTCTCAAATGCTGACATATACATGCTTTGTAAATCCATGACAAGTTTACGAAGAGACGATGTGTTATTGGTGACATTGCAGTCATTTGATACAGAACAACAATTTAGGAGTCAAATAAGGTAATTCTAATTTTGCAAATAATTATTTGATAAATTCTATTTAGAAAAAATTTGAATTTGAATTGTGCGACAAACAAAACTTGATTTTTTATGTATTTTTTTTATTAAGGAAAAGAAAATAGAATATGATTTACCTATTGCTTTTATAAATAGGTCTTTGTAAAACGTTAGATATATATTCTATCAGGAACTTCAATAGAAATAGAAATTAATTTCAAGAAAAACCATTGTGTTTATTTAAGTTTTATAAATTAGACCATTCTACTAACTATTTCTCGATTGGATAATGCTTTTGATTCGCCAATCTCACTTTATAGGATACAAAAAACTTATCAGCTGTATACTGTGATGTAATTTAATTCACCCCTGACAGTGTGAAAAAGTTGGAATGTTAATGCATATATACTGATTCTGATGCAGAAAATTGTTAAACCCGTTACAAAGCAATTTTTAAACATACGCACATTATATGGTACCATTGAAGTCATTTGTTAAGACTGACGTTGAAGGTGTGAGCATGACTTTTTATGTTCGTTGACGCCACAACACTGTATAATCCTGTATGCACACCTATTTCCTAATCTGTACAGTGTGAATAGGAGGAGGCTGGATCCTTACCCTACGCTGGCGAAGATGATATCCTCAATTTACTAATTTTAGCTTGTATCTCACTCTTAAAAATCTTGTTAATAAAAATCAATACTGTTGCTGTTAATGTAAAAGTATATATAAAAAAGAAACCATCAGCCGGTAAGTCTTTGATTATGTTCCAATATAGCATACATATTGAACTTGAACATAGAAGTTTATTATTACTCGTTACCTGTTTTATATGGGATGGTGCAGTGTGTTTTGGAAAGAAACTTTAATAAAAAATAGAAAAATCTAATACAGACAAAGGCATCATTGTTTGAATTTGAACAAGGCATGAGAAAATTATTCCGTTGACGAACCCTTTCTCTTTTTGTTGTTACCATGATTTGTATATTTATAATTGATTTATGAGATTTTAAACTCGGTAGACCACTGTTACCTTTATTTAATTCCGTTCCCATAAGTTAAACATTATTTTCAGGTCCTTTTTTCAACATTCAAACACTTCAGATCTTCTGCTGATAGTCCAATGTGATTCTGGTGATGACAACGAAAAGTTGATTGCTTGTGCAAGGTACGCAATTAAAGGAGAACTGCAACAGGCGTCTGAAAAGACATCAAATATTCATGTCGTTTTACTGATTCAAGTACCTGGCATAGCATGTGGACGATTCACTGGATTTCAGGTAAGATGATTAAAAAACAAGTATTATAGAATTATCCAATGCATTGTTGGAAAGTTTAGATGGATTCTATCTTTTACAAAAATCTTCTCTTCTGAAACTACGTTCATTTACATGAACGAATTCAACCAAACTTGGCCACTATCATTATTGGGGTATCTAGTTTAAAAAAATTGTCCGACGACCCTGCTTACCGACCAACATGGTTGCAATGGCTTAAAATAGAGCAGATAGGTTAAATGTAGATTTTGGCATATATATCTTGAACAAAGCATTTTGATGCAAAACTGGAATGTCTATTATGTTTTCTTATCCCATTAGTATAAGGCTATATATATCAAGAGTTGACACAAAAATTTGATATTTTATTAATAGATCACAGATAAAAAAAAAAAAGGCAATAGTAGTACACCGCTGTTCAAAAGTCATAAATCAATTGAGAGAAATCTAGACAGAACAAGGAATTATTTGAGTCTATATAAAAAAGAAGATCTCGTATGATTGCCAATGAGACAACTCTCCACAAGAGACTAAATGACGCAGAAATCAACAACTATAGGTCGCCGTACGGCCTTTAACAATGAACAAAGCCCATACCGCATAGTCAGCTATTAAAGGCTCGAAATGACAAATGTAAAACAATTCAAACGAGAAAACTAACGGCCTAGTTTATGATAAAAAAAAATGAATGAAAAACAAATATGTAACACACAAACAAACGACAACCACTGAATTACAGGCTCCTGACTTTTGACAGGCACATACATACAGAATGTGGCGGGGTTAATCATGTAAGCAAGATTCAAACCCTCTCCTAACCTGGAACAGTGGTGTAACAGTACAACATAACAACGAACTATAAAAATCAGTTGAAAGAGGCTTAACTCATCAGATGGATACAAATAGAAATAAAACTTACCAAAACACAAGAGTAATTTGTTTTTAAATTTGGCATTTAGATTAGAAATGTATAATGTTCTTCGGCTTATTTAGTGAAATAAAGTGTTAAAAGGCATTGGCTTATATCAAAACGATAAAACCTTTTTTGTTTTTAAATATAATAGAAATTGGTTGAGGAATTCATATCCAAAAGGTAATACTCAAACGTTTCGTTTGAAAAAGTAGTTTAATGTTTGATTTGTGTCAGATTTTGGCTTACTCGGCTGTGTATTTTTATGTGTTGGATTAAGTTGTTTTATGTAATGTATCCGTTTTTATTCTGTAGTAAGTCCCCACTTTGGTTTTATCATGTATATCTATTATATAGTCATTTAATAAAATTTACTGTTTGCAAAAGTATATATTATTCGAAATAATAAGGATGTTCTTGTCCCAGGCAGAAAACCCTGGCCGTGTTAGGCGCAACTTTTTTGGAAGTTTTGGTCCTCGGTGCTCTTCAGCTTTGTACTTGTTTTGGCTTCTAAACTTTTTTCATCTGAGCGTCACTGGTTAGTTTTGTGTGGACGAGACGCACGTCTGGCGTATTAAATTCTAAACCTTGTACCTTTTGTTAGCTATTATTCGTGTGTTTCTTTGTCCTATATGTTCTCCCATTTATTTGTATTGTAGTCATGTCATGTAATATTGTCATTTTAATGTTATATTTAACATTGCCATAAAAGCGGGAGGTTTGGCATGCCACAAAACCAGGTTCAACCCACCATGTTTTTCTTAAAATGTCCTGTACCAAGTCAGGAAAATGGCCATTGTTATATTATAGTTCGTTTCTGTGTGTGTTACATTTTAATGTTGTGTTTTTGTTGTGTCGTTGTTCTCCTCTTATATTTGATGCGTTTACCTCAGTTTTAGTTTGTAACCCGGATTTGTTTTTATCTCTATCGATTTATGAGTTTCGAACAGCAGTATACTACTGTTGCCTTTATTTTTATGGACTTTCCCTTTTTAAATTTACCTTAGTGTTCAGAATTTAATTACACATCTTTTCACACAACGTTTTTCAAGATAAAGGGTAAAGAAATTTGATATTAAGGTAGATCATAGGTATATATTTCTTGAGATAGAATTTTCTTATACTTTGCCAAAATGAAGATTTTACTATGGTTTTTTAAAAAATATAATAAAAAGTATGGGTCACCGTGCTATTTTCCAAGCTATGAGTCGTTGAAAATTGCCTAAATTTGGTTAGATTGTTCACATTTGTGTGCATAAAAAAATATCTATGAGATAGAATTTTGAAATAAATTGTGAGAAGATAGGATTTATAATATGTTTTAAGAAAATAAAAAGAAAAAATGGTGTCACCGAACTTGTTTTCTTGCTACAAGTAAAAATTAAAAATTTCTCAGTCCAGTATATATTTTTTACTATAAGAGTTATCTTCCCTGAAATGGCTTATTTGAAAAAATTGATTAAAAAAACATAAAATTTGATATTTGTTTAAATATTTTGACTTATACAATAAATCACCAATTTTTATTTACGTAAATTAACAGTCTAACCAATAAATTGTAAATCTATCTCCAAATTTGCAGATTTTGGCAAATAACTAGACCGATTTTGTACTGGGATTGTACAATCCAAGATGGTGGTATACCATGAATCTACCTTAATTCGCGCTAACATACTTAAAAACGTCTGTTATTCAGAATAATTCAGAAAAAAATATAAAAACAGTTGAAATTAACAAGCATTTGTTTCGTATATTTGTCATTGTTTATTCTAGTGTGGGGCTTGGCATTCTGTCCATATTGACGATGTTCATCCTGAAGACGAGGATATACCTACAGTGGCAGAAATGTATGTACAATCAGTCGGTGATCTATTATATCCTGTCATAAATGAATCGCAGGATAAATCAGACAAAACAGAAGATGTAGAAATTCCGGCTGATGAGGGATTGTCCAGTAAAAGTTTGAAAGATGAGGAAGAGCCTTTCATCACAGAAGAGCAAGAGACAGACCAATTTAAAAGTGAAAATAGTAGTAATGCGCTTGAATTGGAAAGATTAAATGATTTCATTGCAGATCGAGATACACAGACAGAAGCAGAACCTAAAACAGAGGCTCCTGGGAGCTGGAACGGACTTCTGGTACGAATATGTAGCTGTTTTATTTAGTTGAGCTTAACTTATATAAAATTATTATTTGAGTAAAGTGCTTTCTACACGATTATCAGACGGTATGGTTATAGCAACTTGTCTATTGTTATAAAATAAAGCGATGTGGTAGTATTTCCACAAACGAGACCAATTAACAAAGGTATTGAACAAAAACCAACGATCTGATTAATTCATAATTGTCGTATGTATGTATGTATGGATGGATGGATGGATGTATGTATGGATGGATGGATGGATGGATGGATGAATGGATGGATGGATGGATGGATGGATTAATTCATAATTGTCGTATGTATGGATGGATGGATGGATGGAAAAATTAGAAAGGGTAAACACAAATAAAAAGCTCCATGATAAAAAAGGGATAGTATGCGGCGAATTGAAGCATTCAATTTTGGTCTCGACTGCGATGAAAGTCGTGGAAAGCGAAACTTTAGTTAGTTTGATAGGAACTACTTGTGAACGATAAATTCCATTTTGTATGAAGTTAGAAGTTGAAGTATGTAGTTGCATTACTATCAGTACGTATCAGTTTGACTATTTTGAGGCCCTGTTTCCAAGACCATGGTTTAGTGACTTTGAATGAATTAGCAATTTTGAATGTTTAGTTTTCTACTTAAATTAGTTTGAAAGTTTGAAATGCTCACAACAGACAACGATAATTTCTCTATCACTATTGTGGTCTGTACACTTCAGTGTTTTAACCTTTTCGAGACTCTCAACACTACTTTAAGACCCAGAGACTTCTGGATTAATTAGAAATGTTGCTGTCTATCAGATTGTTCATTTCTGAATTTTATGCCGACAGTCGAGACATATCTCCGTGTCACAGCTTATTATATAGCTTTTAAGGATACTCTATATATATGTTTTTACACATTTTCAGTGGTGCTGTAGTCGATCTGTAAAGCAAAATAGAGTTTTTCTTGATCTGAGTTATCACGGTTATAACACGTTGGATGAACACGAAGGCGTCAGAAAGCATTCAGTGGTAATGCCTGTTGATTATAGGAGGGATACCACCGATATTTTACTGCAAGAGGGAAACAATCATACTGTAGAGCCTTCATTGACTGACAGACCAACAAAGATTACTGAAAAACCAAAACGGAAGGGTCAAAATTCAGTACAAATCGAGAATGCCAGAGATAAGATTCAAAACCTAAAGAAACATTTCAAAATGGATAATCTTATAAAAAACTGTATTCAACCTGCTCTGCGCTTTGTGAAAGACACCCAATCTAATCCTCCTAAGGCTTTATACAGATTAAAGATTCTTATGAATTGGCTACAGAAAAAAGAAGGTATTTCTGAAATGATATCTTAATTTTTTACATGAATTATCAATAAATGAACTGTTTACAAAATTCGACATTCTTCGAAATAATAAGGAATAAATTGCCTTAGATGTATTCGCAAAACCATCCGTAATTTTTAGTCAGCAATGACCTTCTATTTCGTATTTCATATAGCCTTTGAATGTTTCATTCGAGCATCACTGATGAGTATTTTGTAGACGGAATGAGCGGCTTGAGTACAACATGAATTGCAAGTATCTTTGATGAGTTGTTTATTGAACAATTTTTAAATACTTCAAAAATGTTGCATAATTGAGGTTTTTTTTATTATTATTTATTAGAGATTATTTTCTAATGTTCTGCAATGTTTTGTTTAAATCTTTTTGAAACGAAAACTTACTAAAATCAGTTTATACCTCTTTTTGAAGAAAACGAAATTTCCAATAAAACCTCATAGGAAATACACATGTTTATATGACATCATGACAATGCTGACTTGTATATCGTTGAATAACTAAGATTAATCAACCGCATGGCATAATCAACTACGTTTTGTAATGCTTTGGTTTTTATAGGGTCCAAATTGTAATTATTTTGACTTAAAAATTGAGCGTCTAGCTTAACAAATTTTCAAATGGTTCTTTTCATGAGTTTTTCCGGTCATACTCTTTTATATTTTTTTTACGTGAACATCACTGCACTTACTTTAATGCATAATAAAATTGCCGTTATAACTGCGCCTGTGCAATACATACTACCATCATACTATATCGATTTACTTTTAATTTCCATGAGATTAATTATTCCCATTTTTCAGATGACTTAACACTTTTATCCGGAATAAACAAACATTTGTCCATTCTCTTAAAGCAGAGAGAACAAATATCTGGTACATTAAGTACAAACTGGTTGGCACAGGAAGCTATTAAACCTCAGAACGTTAACAGACCTGGGACCTTTAGGTTTGTATACTTTCGAATAAAGACAACAGTAGTATACCGCTGTTCGAAATTCATAAATCGATTGAAAAAAAAAACAAATCCGGTTTACAAACCAAAACTGAGGGAAACACATCAATTATAAGAGGAAAACAACGACACAAAAGAAACACAACACTAAAATGCAACACACACAGAAACGAACAACGGCAATTATCCTGACTTGGTACAGGACATTTTAAGAAAAAAAATGGTGGGCTGAACCTGGTTTTGAGGCATGCCAAACCTCCCGCTTTTATGGCAATGTTAAATATAACATTAAAATGACAACATTACATGACAGGACTACAATGCAATAAATGGGAGAACATACAGGACAGAGAAACACACAAAAAATAGCTATCAAAAGGTACCAGACCTATAATTTAATACACCAGACGCGCGTTTCGTCTTCATAAGACTCATCAGTGACGCTCAGATCAAAAATGTTTGAAAGCCAAAACAAGAACAAAGTTGAAGGGCACCGAGGACCAAAAATTCCAAAAAATTGTGCCAAATATAGCTAAGGTTATCTGCCTGGGATAAGAAAATTCTTTGTATTTAGAATAATTCATACGTTTCGAAAACATTATGTGGATGACTACTTCAGAGTTTTAGAATCAAATAATTAGAAAAAAGCTATAATTCATTCAAAAGTTGAAAATAATTTAAATTATATTAAATATCTCATCAATAATAATGTATTAGAAAAGATAGTTTGAAGTGTAGAGTTAATTTGTTGTTTCGTAAGTGTTTTGGTGCCATCTTGTGTATTGTGTTGCAGTGTATTTTCAGTTAATGGCTGAAAACTTTTTATCATAATATTTTTGGTATTAAGTTTCAACCACCATTGATGTGTTACGACAAACTATATTTTCCACCGTACAATTTCCTTCTCTATAACAAATGGTTATATGTACAATATCAGATGCTAATTATCACGTGTTTTATGCTACATGTAACACGACGGCCGCCAATAGTATAGCATTAATTGATTATCTTCCTTAGACAAAGAGTTTTTTACGGTTTATGGCGGGGGTTGTTTAGTTTAATCGTCATTTTTACTGTGAATTGCTTTGTAATCTTTTTATCATGGTGTTGTCGATTTTTAAAGGATGTAGTCAGGTCAGATTGAAGAATTTTTGTAAGATGTTCGGACTCATTGGGATTTCCTACGATACAGGGTAAAACATTTTGCCCCATATATTCCACTTTTTTTCATAAAAGACTTCAATGGGCATTAAGGGTCATTTACCAACATTTAAACAGAGTATAGATTTCTTTTCTTACGATTTGAAACCCAAAATAATGACAATGTTAAAAATATTAGTTAAAAGCCAGAGTCAGGTCAGTGTCAGCCTTTTACCGCAATCAAAAAAGAAGCCATAACCTATCAATATTTTGAGCTTATTTCGTTTCTATATATTGTTCCAAAAACTTAAGATCTCCTATCCCAGGAATAGTTTTCCTGAGCTATATTTGACAAACCTTTTGGAATTTGTGAGTCTCAAAGATCTTAAACTTCGTATTAAATTCGGGCGTTCCTGATTAGACTATTGTAGAAAAAACGTGTCCAGTGTGTTTACGTTGACAACTAAAAGAATGCAATACTGATTTTTGTTGTTGCATTATGTTAAACAATCTATTGACCTTTCACATGGTTAAAAATCAAACAAGTTTCTAACGATTGTGTACATAATTATGGTGTTTTTATTTCATGACACTACATGACGTCATGTGAATGAAATCTTTTATTCCTATTATGGTTTACTTATAATAATGGAAATTCGAAACGTAAGGAATTCCATTACCGGGTAAATCAGACATGTCATTACAATTATTCTGTTTTTAAAAAGAACAAAGTAAAGTTTTTAATGTTATTAATTGAACATGATTGCCTATAAGTAACATCTAAATCCATTTCATACAGAAAGTTTGCTGTTCGATGTTTAGAGGCAAAGATTGTTCCTGTATTAGCTGGTATCATCGCTTTTATAGACACAAATAATAATCTTGGTTTGTTGTCTCATGATAAGACCTGGAAGACGGACCTCTGGTTAAGAATAATGAATAATCCATTTTTGACGCAACTCAAATATTCTGCAATTGCCTCGTCAAATTTGAAGCAGGAAATGGGTGAGATTCCTGTCAAATCTACGGCGTTGGATGGAAAAATGTTTTCAGCTTGTATGCCCTTTTCCTGGTTGATTTTCCGGCAGGTAGATGACATTCTACGAAAAACTATTGACAGAAGTCAAGCAGAAGGTAACTTTAAATGTCTTTAGAGCTAATATCTAGGGTAAGAGTTTACAGTGGTTAAAGTATCCAAATAAACGCAAGTGTCTTTTCTCTTTGTCCTTGCCTTTCGTTAACCAATGCTATACAAACCCTGATACTTCTCGTCAGAATGAATAGTAAAAAAAACATTCTCTCTGAAAACTACGATGTTTTAATTTGCAAAATGATTGATTAAATTAAGAAAGATGTGTGAAAATTAATTACACGGTAGAAAACATAAATGTTGTTAATAATGTGTTGTTTTGTTTCATTAAGTATCAACGAAACAGACGAAAATATTCATATTGCAAAGTTTTAAGTTATTGATATCTACAACACCTTCTTGAAGTTGCACCAGTGATGTTTTTTATAATTCCATTTGTTAACCAAATAGTGTTAATCAAATTGGTCTTCATAC